TATTGGCTCCCGTCAGATAGGCTCAGGACATAATGGTTCCCGACAAATGGGCTCCCGACATATTGGCTCCCGACATAAGGGCTCACGACAAATGGGCTCCTGACAAATGGGCTCACGACATATTGGCTACCGACAAACGGGCTCCCGCCATATTGGCTTCCGACAAAACGACTCAGGACATATTTGCTCCAGACAAATGAATGGCATAACCACTATTGGATTAAAGGTAACCATTTTGTCCTACCTCCAATACCACTAAAACATCTTTTAAATGCTTGAATGAAATTGTTTTTCATGAACCAACATCAATTCACAAACAAATCGAGCCTTTAACAGCTAAATTCCACCAATTCTTAAGATTTGATAATGTTTAATTTAAAACAGTTAAGATATGTTGCTTATGTTCTATATAAATCCCTCCCCCCCCCCCCCCCCCCTGAAGATATGCCAGTAAGCAACTCTGATTTAGTGTAGACAACAGTTAAATAAGTCCGTAAAACCGAGTAATGATCTATTCTCCGTAGCCTCGACTGTGTATGATTAAGTAATCCAGCTCATTATTTATTTTTCTGCCCCGTTCGGCGCCCCCTTTATGTCGGCACCCGGAGCGGCCGGCACTACCCGCCCTCCCTTGCTACGCCTCTGAAAGTAAATATTTTCTATTTAAAATCTTTGGGGGAAGGGGGTCGGTGGAACGTGCGGGATGGGGGAACTGTACCCGGAATAATGCCTGGGTTCTGAGGTACTGGTCTGGTGAGAACTTAGCGAGAAGTTCTTTAAAAATGATCCACCTATCTGTTCACTTGTTTGTCCCCTACAGGTCTCTAGGTTTGATGAATTTTCCAGAGAGCCGTTTGGATGTGTCGCGGGGTGTGTCATGTTTCCATTGTATGCTGCCTGCTTCGCTTTAGTTTCGTTAAATTTGTTTTTCTAAATTGTTTCGAAAATTGTTTTGAGTTCAGTTTGCAACAATTTCAATTAGATGCCGATTAGCAATTTTCATACAATGGGAAACTACTCAGGTTATATTTTCGAGAAAAACATCCAAGCTTGGTTATCTCGCCTTGTTAAATTAAAATGTAGAGAGGGTTGTAATTTGTTGGTTATAGTATGACGTCCAGTGGCGTAGCCAGGATCGTCTCAAGGGGGGGGGGGGTCCAATTTTTACCCGGGGATAAACTTTCGATTTGCACCCCCCCCCTCAAACTTTTTCTATATACCGAGGGGTCTATGGGGGGGGGGGGTTATGACCCCCCCCCCCCTAACCCCCCCCCCCCCTGCCTACGCCACTGATGACGTCAATTTTATTTTTTAGGGTTGGGAGTTGGGACGGAGAGGGGGGAGGGGGTAAAGGAGGAAGCATGTCGGCTAAAACAGAAACCTAATCAACCCGTTCTAATTTTATCTTAGACTTATACATTTAAACAGCGGCCACCTGTAAATCAGAGTGGATTCCCCTGAATCTCTAACAAAAATTTCCGAAAAAAAACAACAACTTAATATGGCTGCTAAAGTTAAAGAGCTTTGTTACATCTGATGAAAATATCGCTATTATTTTTACTTGTTATTGAAAAGCTTTAATAAAAGTGTTGGTAATCTATCGTTTTAGGTACGTAAATCGGCCGAGGCTAGTAATGCGCGAAAAAGTTGCCTCATTTGTAAGGCTTTATTATTAGAAGTATATTGTGATATATAATTAGATTCTATATTTGTGTCGAATATTAGAGATAAGTGAATAGTAAATCAAAATCAATGGCTAAATATATTAATATTATATAGGCCAGAAATTAACTTTAAACAGCAGTGTTTGCGAGCAAGATTTGATATACAAACAGCAGCTATCTGTAAAATAGAGTAACTTCCCCTGAATCTCCCAATTTACAAAATAATTTTTTTTAATAAGATGGCTGCTGAAGTAAATGAGCTTGGTTGCATCTGATGAAAACATCGCTAGTCTTTATTTATTACTGAACAGTTTCAATACAATTATTTAAAAACAGGTACATAAATGAAACTTTGAAACATTTTTGTAAATTTTAAAACAGAAATCCTCCTAAAAGTGTGAAATAATTACTAAAATGTAAGGAGTCACCTGTTTTTCACATTACTAGTCTCGGCCGATTTTACGTAGTTTGAAACAGCATTTATTAATGCATACAAAAAAGATAATTTCTTTGTAAATTGTGTAGTAAATTATATAACCTATTTCACAGAGGATAATCTTTTCTTTTGGTGCATTTAAAAAGCACACCATCTAATTCTATATTATAAAAATATAATATTCTGTAGAGAATCATTATTCAGAACGGCAGTTAAAATAGCATTATCAAGTGCATACAAAAGATAATATTTACTTCCAAATATGTAGCAAAACATGTTCTTTGGAAAGCTTTTTAAAGTGACATCATCTTGTGCACGCCATGTAGAATCTATTTAAAATCCATCTTAATGGGCACCTGTTTAAATTGGCATCGTCAAGTACTTTAAAACAAAAGAAACCATTCTCTTGTTAGTATGGCTACTTTTATCAGTTCATCATATAATTTTACGATTTTAAAATTACATAGTATGGTGTATTAATTTATTTTCCAAAATATTCTCAAATCTTTCATCATAGTCTAAATTATGGAGATATGTCAATTTCTGACACGAAATAGACAATGATCTTATTTTTGTGTTGTGAGTGCATTTGGAAGCTACTTAAATTTCTTTCCTTTTAAATTTTGTTTCTACCAAAGTTTTGCCACAAACACAGAAATAATTGTCTTTGCATTTGTTGACTGTTGTTGATATAAAACTGTTTTAATAAAAAAAAATTAAAATATTTGTAAAGTAAGATTGTCAAGCTTCTTATCATTTTAAAATCAATCACACTGGTCTGTAATGTATGTTCTTTGCTAACTTTATATTCTATGGCCAAGTTTAAAAAAAGTTCACACAGGAAACCACTTACAGCTAATGAATATTTGTAAGAAGCAACAAGCTATTAAACATTTTACCAAGTACAAAAACAAGTCTGAAAGATTGAGATGAAAAATATATCGGAAATCTTTGATGTAGATCGATACTTAAATTTAATTCAAATTGAAACAACGGTTTTTTTAAAATTATATTTAGAGGTCATCCATAAATGACCTCACGGTTTTTTACCTCCACCCTCCCACCCGATTGTAGGAAAAAAAGTCACAGGAAAAAAAAACACAGGAAAAAAAAGCACAGAAAAAAAGTCACAGGAAAAAAAGTCACAGGAAAAAAAAGTCACAAATATATATTTGCATGGGATTTGTTAATACTTTTATGTATTAAATATTCAGAGAGTGCAAATTAACTTAGGATTAATTTTAATTAAATGTAATGTAATGTGTGTAGGTTGTATACGTATAGTAATTTTAATTAATTCATCTAAAAATATTTAGTATGAATTATGTAGATTGTAATTATGTTAAACATAATATTTATAGCATTTAATAGAATGTCCACGGTTTTCATCGTGTTTTTTTTTAATTAAATTACCGTGAAATGGTAAGGTCATCTGAATTACTGCCCTCAACTCATCGCAACAATAGTTATGCTTAGTTCAACCACCTTTACTGCCCACATTTATCACGCTCATTACATAACAAAACTTAGGATCAAAACAGAGAGCCGACCAGGTTCATAGGCTGTCATTGACACAAAACGTCAACAACACAAAATATGTTCGGACAATGCCGACTGAGGAGAGGCCGACCATAGAATAGCCTGCGGCAAAACCTATGCAAAACACAATGATGTGCCTAAATTTCTTTATAGTTAACTTTTCTACCGCGTATGTAACTAAATACGTAACAAAAGTTAAGATTGTTGTGTAAATTATCTTAGAGTATTTTTATTTTTACTTACAATTTGTATAAACCATAATGCTTTTAACGTCTATAAATAATTTAAGCTATCAAAAAATACAACCCACAACAATAAACATACACAATTTTACAATTCTTAACAAATTAATCAAAGTATTTCTATAAAGATTTGTGTGACTTTTTTTCTGTGACTTTATTTCTGTGACTTTTTTTCCGATAAAATTTTTTCCATTGTGACTTTTTTTCCGTGACTTTTTTTCCTAGCAAAAACTGTGACTTTTTTTCTGTGTTTTTTTTCCTGTGACTTTTTTTCCGTTTACCTCCCACCCATCACACATTATCACAAAAAGCCAGACCCCCCCCCCCCGAAAATGACACAACCCCCCCCCCCCTCCCCCTTAAAGTTGCAGTTGAATTTTTCTTAAAATACGATATTTTTCCAAAATTTCGTCTAAACTCTGTCAACATAGAGTATTTTAATCAATTTCAATTTATTAAAACGGTTTTCTAAAACGCGAAATAGCGGCTAAAATTCTTTTTCTAACATTGCTTTTTTATAATGCAAAAGTGTGAAGTCACACCACCTGAACTCCCCACCCCCTCATCACACACCGTCACAAAATTACGGACCCCCTCCACCCTACGAGTCTGACGTCATTTATGGACGACCCCCTTAGATGTAACTTTCCCAAAAGAAAAATTTATATTTTTACGGTAAACTACATTTTTTAATTAAGAAAAAGAAATTCCAATGAAAATAGAAAAAGGAAACTGTTAGGCCTAACCTATTTAAAATTGTTACTGCGCATAGACACGATCACTCGCTTTTACCTGCTGTTTTTCATAAAGCTATAAAGCTTTTTAGAGATTGCAGATTGGGGTAAAATTCAAATAAATAATCAATTTTGTTTTACTGAACTCCACTTTTTCCTTATTAGGAAAATTCTCAGACGAAAATTATTTATATAGGCTAGATAATTATCTGCTTTTTTTTTTAAAGCCAATAGTCAATGTATTTTTCCGTAGATTTTGTAAGAAAGAAAAGTGCGAATTGAATTAAAGGATAATTTTACTGTGTACGAAAAAAAAATTGAAACAGACATGCGCGAAACTTTACCCGTTAACACTCCACTTGTCAAGTAAATCTAGAATCTAAAATCTAGATTAGATCTACTGATCTAGATCTAGACTAGATCTAGGCCTTAACCAGGATTAATAATTTATAAACAACTTTTTAAAAAATCTATTTTTATTTAACACGTGCTTGATGTTAATTGTAGTAAGTAGATCTAGATCTAAATCTAGATCTTGGTATTTTATTCCCCGCTTGACTTCCAACTCCAGTTGAGCGTATTTAGTATTTTTATTTATTATTTCATCTAGATCTAGACTAGATCTATATATAGATTTACTAATATATACTACTAGATCTAGATCTACTACTAATATACTACACAACCAAAACACACAAAAGTGGCAAAAACGTTAGGAAAACACTAGATCTAGGCCTATATCTGATATCAGATATCACTCTAGATTCTAGATCTATATCTATTCCTACTTTAGCCTATTCTTTATGAACTTCGGTTTGGTTTTTTGATTAATTTTGTCAAAACTTGAGAAAAATTAAAATATCGAATGTGTCGGCCTTAAAGTAAGAATTATAACTTTTTTAAATAAAAGTTTATTCAACAAAATAAAGTAGGTAACTACAATAGCTAGACTTAATTTAAATTTACTAGAATTTGTGAACTATTTTTAGTGGTAATAGCTTTAGACATCAATAGACTTAGGTATAATAGTAATACATGCATATTAATAATTTTAAAATCTATGCATAATGATAAGACACCCATGCCACAATCCTGCCTACCCCTTAACATAGTAATCTTAGTTAGCAATATAATCAATGCAATTCTGTAATCCCCCCCCCTCCCCCATCATACTGACATTCATATAGGCCTAATAGTGAATTCTTTTCATCCAACCCAGCTGTTATCAATATTTTGATATTTACTATGTAGCTAAATATGTTACTATACATTTATGTACATTTATTTTTTTCACAAATATTGCCTTTTTCAAGTGTGATAGATCCACAAAATTTCTAAATATAGCAACAAGTTCCTGAATATTTTTTTTCCCTGAACTAAAATTGATACAAGACATATTTTACACTTCTTACAGACATAGATCTAAATGAAATCAGATTCACTCCCAGAAATTAATTTGGAATCGTCAAGTACAGCTGGGCAAAATGTTGCAAACCCTTCTTATTCAGAGTCCGTTTCAAGTCATACAGTTCTAGAAAGTTTATCAGAACACAATGTTTTTAAAAAGCTTGAAATTTGTTTCAAGACAATTGCAAACACTAATGTTTTACCAATTCAATCAATTGTTTGCACTTTGTGTAATCAAATTTTTGACAAGATGTTTATTTTAAAGATTCATCTGAGTCAGCATATTGAAGAGAATCCGTTCATGACAGTTTCTAAAAAGATCAGATTGAGGCAGCAAAAATGGTTGAAAACAAAAGAAAAAATGTACAACTGTGAAGTATGCAGTAAATCTTTTACTTGTATTTACCATTTAAAACAGCATATCTGTGTGCTTACAAAAAAGAAGCCATTTACTTGTGAAGTATGTAATAAATCTTTTATTCACCTTTGCAAATTGAAAGAACATCTTATGGTGCATACTGATGAGAAGCCATTTACATGTAAAGTTTGTGGTAATTCGTTTACACGAAAGAGCAATCTAAAAGCTCATTTTCAAGTGCATATAAAAGTAAAGCCTTTAACTAGGTTAACTTGTAAGATATGTAGTAAGTCATTTACTCGAAAGAGCAATTTAAAAAGGCATCAAAATATGCATACAAATGTGAAGCCTTTCGCTTGTCAAGTGTGTAGTAGACTGTTCACTCGCAAGTGCAGTTTGAAAAGGCATCAACGTGTGCACACATATGAGCGTTTCCCTTGTAACGTGTGTAGTAAATCTTTTACACGAAACAGTTTTTTGAAACAGCATCTTCGTGTGCATACTGAGCGCAACCCATACTTTTGTAATATGTGTGATAAATCATTGCTTCACATGGACTCTATGAAAGCACATATCCGTTTCCATACAAGTGGGAAATATTTCATTTGTTATTTGTGTAATAGATCATTTTATGTCAAAAGTTTATTGAAAATGCATCTTCGTGTTCATACAGAAGAGAAGCCATTTTATTGTACAGTTTGTAATAAATCATCATTGTATTATAGTAGTATAAGAAGTCATGTTACTTTGCATACAATAGAGAGACCATATTCTGGTAAAGTGAGTAGCAATTTGTCACAAAGGAATAGTAGGAAACTTCTACTTCTACATAGAAAGTATACTTGTGATCACTGTGGTAAAAAATTCACTCAGTTACGATTTGTAAAGCGGCATGTTTTTCTTCATTTAAAAGATAAACATTAGCTGGCTGTCATGTAGTCAACTTGACCTAGCAAGAATGTACCTCGACATAAATATCTCAAACACAATAGCTTCGTTATATCATACATCATTCTGTCAGTAGATTTTGCACATTCCCCCACTCCCCAATTTTAACATTGTTACAAATATCCAGACACCCCCCCCCCCCCTATTCCATGTTATACATAAGTGTAAAAAATTATAGACGTTGAAAAACACTGAATTTTGAATTTGTCATGTTATGATTGCTTTGTAAAAGTAAATTATTGTTTCTATAATTAAATTTGTTTAGCCCCATTTAGTGTTTGTTAATTTGTTCGGTTTATTATTGTTCGATATGTTTTTTTTTCATCCAACGGTACATTTTACATGGCATTGAATCATATCAAATCATTGAATTGTATGAGTAAACATATGCTGTTACAATCTATCAGTCGAGGGCTTTGGTGTCAACAAAATTCTCAATCTGAAAGCCGCAAAAAACATGCAATATTACATGCAGAAGAATTAGACATATCTAGATAAAAATATTAAACAAAGTGATTAAATGTTTTAGTTTATTACAATTAACTAAACAGACATCAAAATTTATTATAGATATATGAATTTTGAAACAGGTGGTTAACATTTTTTTTTCAAATGTATATGCGAGTAGGCACCCGTTACTGAATGAAGTTTACTGTTAGTTTGTGGGTATGCGGAGCTTTGACCATGGGTGGTTTGACCACAGAGGAGTAGCTGGGTGGGGGCGACCCTAGGAGGGGCGCCAAAATGGGTAGAAAAAAATATTAAAAGCTAATTTTAAGCTGCAGTTTTGAATTATAAACAGTCTAAAGAAATATACAAGCTTTTACATACTCATTCAACTGTTTCTTTCTTAATCGTGTAATAGGGCTGGTAAGTAGGTCACCAACCAGTTTTATGGCTCAATAAAACCTGCATGAGCCATAGAACTGGTTGGTGACCTACTTACCAGCCCTATAGTGAAACAAATACCCTGTAGAAACATGCAAAAATCGCTTTCCAGCTTTTCCAGGGGGGGGGTGCTTTTTCGCCGACTAAAATCGGAAGGATTTACTCTGTATTGGTGAGTAGATAACCTTTATCGCGTATTAAAGAAATCATTTGTATTGAAGCGCATATTTTGATTGTGAAGCTAAATTTTTTAGTGACGTTTAAACTCGCTCTACCACAGAGGCGTAGCGACCCTTCCCGGCGCCCGGGGACAAACTTTCAATTTGGCGCCCCACCTCGGGAGCAAATTCGATTTGCAACCCCCCCCCCCCCCCTCAAACTGTTTATAGTGCAAAAATGCAGCTAAAATGACATTTTAATTTGTTTTTACAACCCATTTTGGTGCCCCCTAATGTCGGCGCCCGGGGACATATGTGCCCCCCCCCCCCCCATCGCTACGCCTCTGCTCTACCAACTTTTTTTCATGTTGGGGATGGGGCGCTTTTTCGCCAACTAAAATCGCAAGGGTTTACACTGGATTGATGAGTAGATAACCTTTATCACGTAGGGAAAAAAATTGCTTTTGGGTTCTTCTGTCTAGGGGTATTCAAGACATCAAAACAGACTAGATTAACTAGATAACACTAATGATGATACTAAATAATACTAAGAAGTGTAATATAGATCTCTCTCTATATATATTAGTATATATATATATATAAAATACATAATACTAAAATAATATAATAATTAATAAAAGTTTTACGACACAAAGTACGATCCACAATACTTAACACACTCTGTGTCCTCCAAAACCACACGCCAAACAACAGCCACACAACCTAGCACACGTTCTGTCAACCGTTTACAATTGTATTAAAGCGTGTTGTACGATTGCGTAACATTTAAAAAGTTTGTGAAGTTAAAGCACGCTGTTCCAACTTCGTCCAAGATGGTGGAAGGGGTAGGGGACGCTTTTTCGCCAGCAAAAATCGGAAATATTTACGCTGGATTGGTGAGTAGATAACTTATTGGGGGGGGGGGGGGATTCTACTGACTTTTACCACTTTTCTATATGTTAAATTACCTAATAAAACAGTTTACTAGAAAATTAGTATGATATACCTAATAGTTCTTTTTTTATTACCTGTTTCATAACAAGTTCTACAACTGAAATTGCCATATTGTCATTAATATTGTTAAGGCCACTAGACCAACTAAAAGTAAACGAGGTAAAACTGGTAGGACTACCACACGACGACTGCTACTACTTTCTTACTTTGTTCACCGTAGCTGATAATTTAAAGCTGTAATATAAATATAGGCCTACTAGTATCGATATTGTTCTAAAGACACGTCCCAAAGTAGACCAAATAAGCTTGCACCTTCTACAAACTACCCTCTACTAATTCAGAGTTTCTTCCAGGCAGCTCTTCGGGGATGTGGCGAAAAAATTCTACTGCCCCCCTCCCCCCCCCCCCCCCCCCGAACGAAATGAATTTTATATAATTTATATAGAAAATATATACTTTTAACAGTGTCCGCCCCCCCCGCCCCCCCCCCCCCGAAGAAAGTCTACCGCCCCCCCCCCCCCGAAAATTTCAAGTGCCCCCCCTCCCCCCCAGGGGTCTCCAAACTATGGCCCGCGGGCCGGATGCGGCCCGCGAGGTCCTCTCATCCGGCCCGCGGAGATCTTTTTGTCCACGGAAAAAACGTTTGTAGGTGATGGCTGAGGAACTTTGCCCAGAGTAATCAAAGAAATGAAATTTGATAGTTAATGCGGCCCTCGGACTGAAAAGTTTGGAGACCCCTGCTCTATACCATTGGTTCTTATTCTTTTTGGAGTTACGTACCGAACCCCACCAGTTTCATATGCGCATTCACCGAACCCTTCTTTATAGTATGGCTATTAATAGTTTAACAGTTTATCGTCCGCACTGTCAAAATCCGATCATGAATTATATGAATCGGGTGTGTCTTGAACTCCGCCAAACCCCCGAGACTTACGTAACCTCCGGGGTTCGATCGAACCCAGGTTTAAATGATTCTTTTTAAATTTATTATAATACTGTACTATTTAAATAACTATAAAGAACAGCGTGAGTCGCTATATTATCTATTGTATATCTTTATTAAATTTAGGAAGAGACCCGCGCTTTTCTTTAGCTATTTAAATTAGTAGTGTATTATTATATCTTTAAAGAAAATAATTTATTTTCTCATTTTTCGTGCATTACAACATAAAAGCTTGTTATTAAAACTTTTAAATGCATTTTTAAAAGTATTCACCAAGCTGCCAGCAGAGTTTCTTCCACCCCCCCCCCCCCCCAACGAAATGGGATTTATATAGAAAATATATACTTTTAATAGTGTCCGCCCCCACCCCCGAAAATTTCAAGTGCCCCCCCCCCCCCCCCTCCCAGAGAAAAAAGTCTGGAAAAAACACTCGCTGCCAGTTCGCAAGGCTAAATTTTGTGCAAATTGCGTAGGACATATCTTTTAAAAATGTATGTATTATTATTAAATAATATAGATACAGAGAGTGCTATGTGGCCGGAGGAGCGCTGTAAATAAATAAAACTAAAATTTAAAAAAAAAAAAAGCATTCAGAATGACGATATGGGTTCCAAATTCACAACTGGCGGGATAAATGTTACTGTATTGGTTCTTTCTTCTTTACTAAAATATTTTTTCAACCTAAATGATAGGCTGTATGCTTCTCATTTTTAAAATTCCAACAATTTACTTTTAATTTTAAAAAATAAAAATATAGCAGTTTATTATGTTAGTGTCATATAGTTTGGAGGGGGGGGGGATGCAATGCTTGAGACTATACTCTATATAGACTAAAAATCCGTGTTTGGTCTATATGAGTTGTAAAAACTATCATATATTTTATATAGATTCTAATAACCTATGTCCGATTACCTAGATCTAGTAACATCTCCGTTACTATCATTTAATCTCATGTTGCTTTTAAAGTAAAAAAAAAGAAATCGCATACATTTGAATAATTGAAAGAAAAAAAATTAACCTCCATTCACAAAAGAATAATGCAAAGATGGCGGAACGTAGACCGCAAAATACTTGAAAATACGTCAACATTCATTTCTCATTTAGAGTATCATATAGGCTATATAAAGATCTAGAATCTAGATCTAGCTAGAATCAAGATCTATAATCCTTCAGTAAACTTTCGTTTGTGCGTAGGCTTCAGTTAGAATAGTTAGATTAAAAATGTGTTTGAACTTAACACTATAACAGTAATAATAACAGAACTGAGAAACGTGTGCCAAGTCAGTTTGACTGAGTTTGGGTAAAACTCCATTTTAAAGTTTAGCGTATTTTATTCGTATTTTTGTGTGTTTCGGTTGTGTTTTAGTAAAATACGCTCAACTGGAGGTGAACGTGAAACTGGGAATAAAATACGCTAAAATGGAGTTTTACCGTCAGTTTGGTTAAGGTCGAGCTTACTCAGTTAAAGTTTAGTTTAGAAAAACTTTAGTTGAGTTTCAGTTTAGTTTTAGTCCATCTGAGTTTAGGTTTGTTACTCTTTCCGTTACGACGATTACAGAGTTACAACGGTAGCAGTAGATAATTTAATAGTCTAGATATTCTCACAAAATTTTAAATTATTATATTATATTAAGGCCTACCAATTTAGATATTCTCACTAAATTTAAAATTTACTCCATTTTCAATTTGAACATGATTAATGAATAATTTAATAGACATTCATATTTAATCCATTAGGTAGATCTACTAATTTTGAGTTTTTTAGCACATTTTAGACAAAATTATTTCATTTAAAACTTATTGTAACTCACAATTACGGCATGATACCCCTTGCCCTTTCCATTACAACCATGTTTTATCACCCTTGAATTTGAAGCTACAGCAAGCCATGACTTTTAAACTGGCTATGCATCAGACTAGTGATCTGAGTTCCCTCTATTCTGCGCGGTTGCACTGCCGTGCTGTAGTTTTGGACCAGTTGCGCAGTCATTTTGTAGAATACAAATATCCTTGTATAAGACTTGTAGAAAACCGCGCACACAAAATACCTGATGCACTTTAACTTTTTCTTCTTAAAGGGAAAGTTGTTAGTGATCATCAAATATTAGTCACGTGGTTTTTCTTTTTAAAAAAATTTGGTTGTCATTTCCTTGGCCGGTCTTGTAAAAAAACGGCTGACAATGTTTGATTTACTTTTTCATAGACTGATAAACCTAATTGATATTTTAAAAGTTCTATTTTTAATGAAACCAAGTTTTAAATTCAGCCTTCATTCTCCAAAGCAAATTTTAAATGCTTTTCTGGCATATATAGCCCTGTTGTTATAATGTAAAAAGCTCACCATTTTGCTCATTGTCAACATTTTTAAAAGTAATTCTATGAATATTGTTGTTAGCAATTGACCCTCCATGTTAGCGAGCATTACTTACTAAATAATAGACATCATATTTAATCCATTAGGCTCTAATCCATCAGGCTCTAATTTTGAGGGTTTTAGCAAGATTTAGACTGAATTACTAAATTTAAAATATGATTATGGATGGTTGAGGATGCTGATGTCCGATAATGGACTCTTCCAAAAATAGGTGTATTAAATTGTTAGTAGTAATATGATCTCTACTAGTTTTATGGTTAGAAATTAAGGTTAGGTGTATGGCAGGACTAAGGTTGAGGTTATAGTTAGGGTTAGCATTGACACTAGCAAGCTGTATTTATTTAACTACCTGTAGCCTAGGCCTTCTTTTTTAAGAAGATTCTATAATCGGACACCCTGTGATTTTTATTAATAGATTGGAGACCCTGCCTCCAGATATGCAAGTAATAACAACTTATTGGTCTTGGTAATCAGATAAAATGGTGCGAGAAGAAAATGTGAGATACACCTACGGAATAAGAAGCCTTTTTGTTTTGGTTTTTTTTAAAGTGGTAAAAATTAGAACATCAGATTAATGTGGACTTTTTTTTTTGGTTTCATGCTTTGGGTTTTTTTTGTTTTTTTTTTTAAGCTGGTAAAAATTGGAACAGATTAATGTGGACTTAAATATTTTTGTGGCAAGAAACTAGTTATAATAATTAATAATCCATACCAACTTAAATTTAGCATTTAAGCTTAAGTCTGCATCAAAGTTTATGTAAATCATCAGCTTGTTGGAATTTGTGTGTGGTAAAAATTTTGCAGATATCAGTGTAGTTTACCCACACCAAGCCTAACTAATTGGTCAAGGGTAAAATAGCAAATGATTTTGCATTATAATTACTGAAAAGCCTAGTTTCTTTTTGAATGAACAGTTGTTTCCAGACTTGTTATAAAAATTATTTGTTTATCATTTCAAAATTCTACATTGTTTTATTAGATTGAAAACATTTCTCACATATATTTCTCAAATATATACATTTTTTTACAGAACAATGCATCTACTTCTTTATCAAGTTTCCTGAGAGATACCTTCAAGCTAAAGATACTACTACAGTAGAAATGGAATTTTCAGTTAAAGTTGAGCCAGAAGACACATATACATCCTATTCAGAGTCAACTAGTAATCTAGCTACAGACAATTTAATGGATTATAAAGTATTTGAAGATCTTGAAATTTCCTGTTATTCTGAATCAACCAGTATTCTAGTTACAGACAATTTATTGGATCACAAAGTATTTGAAGATCTTGAAATTTCCTCTAAAGGCACAGATGTTTTATCATCTCGCACTCTTACATGCACTTTGTGTAATCAGATATTTGATGATGAATATGTTTTATATAGTCACTTGCATCAGCATTTAGAGGATGATACCTACACGTCATTTTCTATCAATAACAGGTTTAATCATAATTCTATGTTGCATACAAAAGAGAAGCAATTCTATTGTGAACTCTGTGGTAGAACATTTTCTTTTAAAAGCAGTTTACAGAGGCATCGTGTTGTACACACTAACGAGAAGCCATTTACTTGTGAGTTATGTAGTAAAACTTTTTCTCGAAAAAGTGATTTAAAAGTACATCATTTTGTACACACCAGAGAGAAGCCATTTTCTTGTAAGTTGTGTAGTAAATCTTTTTCAACATGCAGCAGTTTGAAACGACATTACCAAGTACACGCAAAAGTAAAACCATTTACTTGTGAAATATGTAAAAAATCATTTTTCCGAAAACGCGATTTAAAGCTACATCATAGTGTGCATTCAAAGGAGAAACCATTTTCTTGTAAGATGTGCAGTAAGTTTTTTACAACACAAAGCAGTTTGAAACGACATTTTCAAGTACACATAAAAGTAAAACCATATACTTGTAAAATATGTAGTAAATCATTTTCTCGAAATAAAGAGTTAATGCTACATTTTTGTATACACAAACAAGAGAAGCCATTTTCCTGTAAGTTGTGTAGTAAATCTTTTACAACATATAACAGTTTAAATCGGCATCATCATTTACATTCCAGTGAGAAACCATTCTCTTGTAAATTGTGTGGTAAAGTATTTGCAGTTCGTGAGTACTTAAGAGTTCATAACCTCTTGGTGCACATTAAAGAAAAGAAATATACTTGTAAATTGTGTGGCAAATCATTTGTTCTGAGCAGCACTTTGAAACGACATTACCAGGTTCACACAAGAGCAAAACAATGTTCTTGTAAGGTGTGTGGCAAATCATATTCAGCAGGCTATATAAAACTGCATAACCTTTTGGTGCATGTAAAGAAGAAACAGTTTGTTTGTAAAGTGTGTAATAAATCATTTTCTTCTATTAGCATCTTAAACCGGCACTATCAAGTACATTCAAATAAATGCTCTTGTAAGGTGTGTGGCAAATCATATTCAGCAGGCTATATAAAAAGGCATAACCTTTTGGTGCATCTAAAGAAGAAACAGTTTGTTTGTAAAGTGTGTAATAAATCATTTTCTTTTAATAGCACCTTAAACCGGCACTATCAAGTACACTCAAAAAAATCCATTTACATTGAAAATGTGTAGAAAATAGTTTTCCCAAAACTGATATTTAAAACTGCATTTTTATGTGCATACTTAGGTGAAATCCTTTACTAGTAAAAGAAATTTAAAAAAAAAAAATTTTAGTTTATAAAAGGTGATTAAATTTCATAAGGTACTAGCACGAAAGACAATCTTGTCTTGTTTGTTTAGAAGGAAGTTACTGTCTCGTCTCTTGTGTATGTGAGTGGAAGAAAGCCATTAGCTTGAAGACATAGTTTGTATGGTTTGTATCAACAAATAAAGAGAAATTTATATACTGACTTTGTGTTAATAATTTAGTAGAAACTGGTGTACCAGAAGGGCAGCGTATTGGGATATTGGTAGATTAGACATCTATTGTTGGCTAGACAAAACCTGAGCCACAGTATTTCAGTAGGGTTTACGTTTCAGACGTCATGGTCCAGATGAAGTTGAGTTCATGTTTCTGGACCTCGGCCTACAAGTATAAAGGAATTGCTAACTATGTCCAGCTGCCTTATCTTTCTATAACATGAGTCAGGTACCCATTAGGGCTGGTTGGCCCACCCGCTCCTTTAGCATATTTTGTGTGACATCGATTATGGACAAGCTGGACCAAATGTTACAAACCCTTCTTATTCACAGTTTCAAGTCCTACAATTCTAGAAAGTTTATTGGAACACAAAGTTTTTAAAATGCTTGAAATGTGTTTGCAATTTGTGTATTCAAATTTTTTTACAAGATGTGTATTTTAAAGATTCATCTGAGTCAGCATATTGAAGAGAAATCGTTCATCGCGGTTTCTAAAAAAATCAGATTGAAGCAGCAAAAATTGTTACAAACAAAAGAAAAAATGAACAGCTGTGAAGCATGCAGTAAATCTTTTACGTATATTTACCATTTGAAACAGCATATCTGTGTGCATACAAAAAAAAGCCTGTTACTTGTGACAATGTCGCTGACATAGGTAATAAATCTTTTATTTACCTTTGCAGTTTGAAAACACATCTTATGGTGCATGTAAAGTTTGTGGTAATTTGTTTGCTCGAAAGAGCACAAGTGCAGTTTGAAAAGTCATCAACGTGTGCATACAGATGAGCGTCTCGGACCTGTACCACCCGCAAGGTAACTATTACAAATTATACTGTTACGTTCTGAGTTGGTTTCAGATAAATGACAACTCTTCGTGACTACTTTAATTTCTTTTATTCCGTCTCAAATACATTCAAGCCTAGCCCTCGTCCTAATCGCTAGCAACTAACCCCTGACAAATCATTCACTCCCGCATTTATACCGCATTCGACCTTGGGATAACAATACATAAACACACCGGTGTTAACAAAATTCTAGGGTGAACTCAACTCACACACGCACTCTCCCCTAAGTTCGGAACTATTCTACCCTATTCTCAACTGACCCGTAACACACTATTATCTCAGCTATTTAGGCACGTTAGCTTCGTTAATGAATAAATGGGGCATTTTGGAAACTTAAGCTACGCGAATAGACCCTATTATTTCAAATGAAATTTTATTCCAAATTAGCCAATTCCATAGCTAACCAAACAAAAATTTCTATAAAATAATTAAGGCCTGAAATAGCTTAGTATGGAAATTTATTATTGGAATAGATTCTAGATCTAGCATTTAAAATTGGAAGATGACGCCATTAGTTTTGTGTTCTTTCCTTAGTTTAAACATGTGTCCTGTGGTGTCATTGTTTAATGCGATCATTTCACGACAATAGCGCTTTTGTTAGAAATCTGTTTCTACATTTGAATATGCTTTTATTTTTATTTTCCTCCTTGAAATAAAATTTTGTTCATACATTCATACCATCCACCATATTATTTTCAACAAAAGTCCGTATCTTTAAGTTCTCAATATATCGCTGAACATGCTGACGACGTTGCCAAAAATATTGCGGACAGAGAGAAGTGCGCACATGGGCTTTTATATATTACTAGGCATGCTGCCCAGCTTCGCTTAGGCTTTCGAAAACATTGAGAATTTGAATGCTTAATTAATTCGCCCGAGGGTCGGTCTACGACCTCAAGAGTTATGAAGAGGTTCCTCCGTGGACATTTTTTTTTCGATTTATAGCTCATATAAGGCACCGGTCAGTCGAGGTCAGTTTTGACCCCCTCATCGTAGACTTTTCGGCCAACCGGCCCCCGTGTTCTGTCGCCCCAAGGCAAGATCCTGCCAAATTTGAAGCGCCTGCGGCGCCGGGAAGTGCCCTATCGGACACCCGAAAATCTAGATCTAGAATCCTAATAGAATTTTTTTTTTAAGTTTAGCCCGAGCATAATAAAAAAAAATACATTAACCAAGTTGACTTGGTGTGTCTCGAACCCGCACCGCCTGCGTGGTTTATAGTACACTATCATCTCCGCACCACCTTATAAAATACGGAGAATGAAACACGTATTTTAAAATCTTAACTTACGCGAATATGCCTATTCTTTCAAATTAATTTTTTGATCCCAAATTAGCCAGTTCCAAACAAAGATTTTGTATAAAATAAATAAGTCTTGAAATAGTTTAGTCCTAATATAGAAATTTATTTTTGGAATAGATTTTAGAGAAGTTAGAGTCTAAATCTAGATCTTAGCGTCTACGTCTATTTATTGCGTAGATTTAGATTTAGTCTAGATCTAGAATCTCTAGATCTAGAATCCAAATAAATAAAATAAATTTTATGAGTTTAGGCCGGAAAAATTGTATTGTATATACATTTCATAGTGTACGTAGATCTAAATCAAATTTGAATGAAATAGTTCATTTCTTTTTATTGTAAACACGGCAGATGACGTGATTAGTAAATGTATAAACATTAGTGACGTCACAGTTTTATGCGTTCTTTTTCATACCTATAAATGCTTTTCCGGTTGCGTAAATAATACTGTTTCTCTACATTCGAATACGTCTTTATTTTTTATTTTTCTTCTTTAAATAAAATTGTGGTTATACATTTAAAACATCTAACATATTATTTTCAACAAAAGTCCGTATAAAGGTATCCATATATCGCTGCCGATTCTGACGTGATGTCCGGCGAAAATATTTTGCGGACAGAGAGAGAGAAGAGCGCACATGGCCTTTTATATATTAGGATGATATGAATCGGGTGTGTATCTTGACCTCCGCCAAACCCCCGAGATTGACTCACGGAACCTACGGGGATCGAACCCAGGTTAAAAATATTCTATTATATATTATATACTTTCTATACTAGTATATACTAGTATATACTATCAGTAGCGTAGCGACGGGTGGGGCGGGGGGGGGGGGGGGGGGCGGGGGCGGGGGGGGGGGGGGGGGGGGGGGCGGGGGCGGGGGGGGGGGGGGACATATGTCCCCGGGCGCCGACCTTAGGGGGTGCCAAAATGGGTTGGAAAAATAAATTGATAGGTTGAGGGGGGGGGGGGGGTGCAAATCGAAAGTTTGAGGGGGGGGGGTGCAAATCGAAATCTTGAGAGGGGGGTGCAAATCGAAAAGTTTGTCCTCGGGCGCCGGGAAGGGTCGCTACGCCTCTGTATACTATATACTATATAAATAGACATAAAATCCGTGTGTGGTCTATATACGTTATGATATATAATGAAACCTGTCATATATTTTTTATATAGATTCTAATAATCTATGTCCGATTACCTAGATCAAGTAACCTCTCCGTTACGTATCGTTTAATCTCATGTAGATCTAGATCTAGCTTAAGTTTATTATGTTTTTAAAGTAGAAAAAAAAAATCGCATAAATTGAAAAAAATAACCTCCATTCACAAAAGAATAATGCAAAGATGGCGGAACGTAGACCTAGCAAAATACTAAAATAAACTACTGGAAAATACATCAACACTCACTTTTCTTATTTTGAGTATCAATATATAGATCTAGTAATATCTAGATTTATCTAGAAACTATATCTATAACCCTTCGGTAAAGTTTCGTCTGTACGTAGGCTTCAGGGTAAAAATCATCTTAGTTTAGCGTCGTAAATTCGGCCAAAAATTATAACTAGTAATGAAATGTGAAAGAGAGTGTCAGAATAAATGAATATGTCATTAAATATGAGCATATTTTCGTATATTTTGATAAAATATTATAGATAATTGAATAATAAATCACCATTTATGGTTAAATCAATTTAAATATCCTGAAATTAATTTTTATCAACCCTGTTCGAGATAGTAAATTTGCTATTAAAAACAGCAGCCATCTTAAGAAATATTTAGAGTAGCTTCCCTTTCATTTCTATTTGTATGAAAATGTATTTAAATATGATTGTCTTGTTGTATAGTCCGTATTACAAAGCATTTTTTTTTTTAAATTCTGCCCTTTAAAAACTGAATTTCCTAACAAACAACTTTATTAATTCTAGAGAAGCATTGTGAGATGCAACTTGTATCCATGTATTAAATCATGTTTTTTTTAAAACTAATGTTTATGTGATCATACTATTACTAAATAGTTTGATTTTTTTCTTATTGTTTGAAGATTCACTTATTTTTTATTTCAGGTTCTTCTTTTCATCAATTAGTGATTCTATCTTAACTTATTACATTTTTTTACTTCTCTTTACCTTAATTAAACCCCAACCTCCGTCATATTTTTGTTGTCAATGTCACAACAAGTCATAATGTAACAAATTACGCTTCACACTGCCTTATCTAAGATCTCTAACCATAATTTTGACAACATTAAATGTTTGTCATCATTTATATATACAGAGACACAAAATGTATTATCCACCAGCTTCCCTCGTAAAACATCATCTAAAACAATGAGCCAGTCTACCCCTTAAGTGCATGTTGTCATTATGTTCGATCGCAAGTCTCCACCTGCCAGACACATTTTGGTTATCCTTTGTTGTCAAATTGTCAATATCAAGTACCCAAGTGAGAGATATGGGGTTGTCCATAAATGATGTCACATATGATTTGCTACGGGAGTTAGTGAAGATTTGTGACGTCAACTCAAACGGCTCCGCAAATTATGACGTGTCGGTCTCATGAAAGGAGGCAAATGGGGAAAAATACCTAGGTGGTTGATGGAGAACCTCTATAATGCTTTGTTCAATCAAAATAACGATTAGTAAGCATTAGTATATGTATACCTTGCTCAAAACGAATCATCACAAATGTTGCAAGCCTGCTAGTTTAAGACATTTGGCAAAACAGCCTCAACACATTATCCCCGTCAAAAAGGCTTGCCACCAAATGCCTGCCGACGAATAAGCCGCGTCTAATACGGCCATTTATAGCATGGGGCCGCGTTAGAGCACCAGTAGGCTATCGCGCTTTCTAAGATGACATAAATACTTTAATTCAATTTCGCGAAACTGCGCGAAAATTTAGTAATGTTCCATCGTTTGAGGAAATTTATTTTCTTGGACTTACATTGTAATATCATGTTGACTGTCTGGCTCTTAATTTCCAAATATATGTATCAAGATTCAGAACTATAATTTACTTTAATATAAGTGTCATCTTATCATTTATTGTGCTTTTTATAAAGCGCAGAGCAGCTTCAAAATCGGACGGCCATCCTGTTTTCACCAAGCTTCTTTTGGAGCTTAATATGGGTAGTCTAGTTCTATACGGTGAGAGCGTAATACATTTTTCAAGGGCCAAAAGTCTCAAGAAGCAAGCTTGCAGAAATAATCACGTACGTTTAAATGGACGAGTGATAGATGTGTTAGGGGCTGTTAAATGAACATCAACTTATGTAATCAAATTAAACGTGGCATAAGCGTCAAAACAGCAGTGCTTGTTTTTTTTTTCTATAAAATTAGCCTAACGGTCGGCGGTACCGGTACATGACGTCATGCACGAGCGTTAACTCGGTGACGATGTGCTAGTGGGGGAATGAAAAGGTGGGGTTCAAGAAATGCGACTCAGCATGCTTTTTACATTTCTTGACCCTTCTTAATAGTTCTATCGTCCCCACTGAGAAAATGGATCACCAATGAATGACGCGCCATACTTCTACAGCTGGTCTTTCTCCCACAACCATCCCGTTTTAAGAAGAAAAAAAAAACCTGACCCGTCTCCAAAATCACATCGCTGAGTTCTACTCAACCTCTCCCCACCACAAATCACAATTTCTATCTGAAACAATGTGTTCATATGTTTGTTCTGTAATAATGCACGCTGTCATTACTGTCTTAAAGAGCGACGTCATTTATGAGCGATCTAATATTGATTTGATTACCAAATACCACAAATAAAGTGTTCAAAAGTTCGACCTCCCAACAATTGTTGTGGTCTTGGATGCACACTATTAAGTCTGAAAAGGTCTATTAGTCATTCATGTCAACTATATTCTTCTTCTTCTTCTTCGTTCTTAATTATTAGTGTTGAAGGGGATCGAGATTTATCTGCCAGTGGGTTTGAACTCGAGACTTTGTTCGAATTTATCAACCATGAGCTTTTTGCCGACTCGACCACGCCTCCAACACAATTAAGCGTTACGTGTCAACTGGTTATGCGCCATTGAGGCCATTGACTCCGATTTCAGCCTGCTTTACTTTTTGGATTTGCTTCCATAGCCTTTGTCCAACCAAGAACAAACTACAAGGCAGCAGTTGTTTAATTTTTGGAGTTGTCTCTCCTAGAAGAGTGGCTGTCCCCAGCTAACGAGCCTCATCTGCCCGAGGGTTCGAACTCGAGACTTTTCGGTTTAGCAACCATGAGCTTTACCGACTCGACCACGCCGACCACTTCAACTATATTGAAAATAAAGAAAAATTACTATACAAGCATATATTAAAACAATACAAAACAATCATATTAAACAATAAAATCAACACAAAAGACATGCGAATAGACAATTTTTCAAGGGAAACTACTCTATTATTGTTTTTGAAACATGGCTGTTGCTTGTATTTACTCATTGTTGTCTCGAACTGGGTAGTTTAAAGTTTATTCCAGGATATTTATGACTGGTTTGGTCTTGGATTGTGATTTGTTATTCAATTATCTGTTATATTATGTAAAATATGACATAAATATGGCCAAATGAAAGAAATATTCATTAGTTACCTTCATTAGTTACCTTCATCGCACATTACTAGCTACGTTGGAATTTACTACGCTAAACTAAGATTTTACTGGCTTCAGTTAGATTAAAAACGTGTTTGAACGTAACACTAACAGGAATGTGAGCAAAAGAAAAATTATTAAAATGTCTAGATCTAGATCAGGGGTCTCCAAACTTCTCAGTCAGAGGGCCGCATTAACTACCAAATTTCAGTTCGGGGGCCAGTTTCTTCCAGGCATGTCGTGATTTTTCTGAGCAAAGTTCCTCAGCCATCACCAACAAAAGTTTTTTCTGTGGACAAAAAGATCTCAGCGGGCCGGATGAGAGTGAGAGGACCTCGCAGGCCATAGTTTGGAGACCCCTGATCTAGATGATGAGGTCTAGATCTAGACTCTATATTATTCAGTGGTCATGTTTAAATTGAAAATTGCGTAAATTTTAGATTTAGTGAGAAAATCTAATATTTAATCCATTAGGCACTAATTTTGAAGTTTTTAGTTCGTTTTAAATTAAAAAATTACTTAATTTAATATTTATTGTCACTCACTGCCATGACACGACACACCTCTCCATGACAACACATGATATATCACTCTTATGTTTAAGGCGTCGGCAAACCACGAATTGGTTTGACTTTTTAATTGGCTATGCATCAGCGTTCCTCACTAGTAATGAACCAAATAGTGGTCATAAGGTTTTTAAAAAATAAAAAAAAAATTGGTTGTGATATGAAGGCGGTCTTATAAAAAAACTTCTACTTTCAATTTTTCAAAAGCCTATAACTTGAGTACTTTTTCAGATAGACAAACGAAATGTCACTTATCAGTAAAAGATCTACTTTTCTGCTTTCTTTCAAGTTTTGAGTTATTTCCATTGACCTGAAGTAGTAACTTACCCAATTTCCGATTCCTCTAAAAACTCATGTGAATTGATAAAGTACTAATAATACTGCGCGTTATTATACACATATTGTTTGGAGTTCACTTGATGTGCAATTCTTTTTTCTACAAGATTCTATTCTATTTTAAAAAGTTATTAAAAATGGGTTAAAAATATTGTCTATATTCTGAGTTGACAAAACTGTAGTGTTATATAAGAATATCCGAGAAAGTTTAGGGGAGATCACTCCCAATTTATTTAAGAAGATTCTATAATCTGACACTGGCACAAAAAATGCCCCGTGATTTCTTTTTTTATAGACTGGAGGCCCTGCCTCCAGATTTGCGAGTAATAACAACTTATTGGTCTTGGTAATCAGATAAAATGGTGCGAGAAGAAAATGTGAGACATACCTGCAGAATTATGGATGAATAACAAGACTTTTTTTTTGTTTCATGCTTTGGGTTTTTTTTTGTTTTTTTTTTTGTTTTTTTTTCAAGCTGGTAAAAATTGAAACAGATTAATGTGGACTTAAATATTTTCGTGGCGAGAAACTCATTATAATAATTAATAAACCATACCAACTTCAATTAAGTGTTTAAGCTTAAGTCTGCATCATAGTTTATCATTTTATGTAAATCATTAGCTTGTTGGAATTAGGGTGTGGTTAAATTTTCGCAGACATCAGCGTAGTTTACCCACACCAAGCCTAACTAATTGGTCAAGGGTAAAATATCAAATGATTTTGCATTATTATTGCTGAACAGCCTAGTTTTTTTTTAAATACACATTTGTTTCCAGACTTAATATAAAAAATATTTGTTTATTATTTCAAAATTCTACATTGTTTTATTAGATTGCAAACATTTCTCAAATATATACATTTTATTTTACAGAACAGTACAACATCTCCTTCTTTATCAAGTTTCCTGAGAGATATCTTCAAGCTAAATATACTACAACAGTAGAAATGGAATTTTCAGTTAAAGTTGAGCCAGAAGACACATATACATCCTATTCAGAGTCTACTAGTAATCTAGCTACAGACAATTTATTGGATCACAAAGTATTTGAAGATCTTGAAATTTCCTCTAAAGGCACAGATGTTTTATCATCTCGCACTCTTACATGCACTTTGTGTAATCAGATATTTGATAATGAGTATGTTTTATATAGTCACCTACATCAGCATTTAGAGGATAATACCTACACCTCATTTTCTATCAACAGCAGGTTTAATCATAATTCTATGTTGCATACAAAAGAGAAGCAATTCTATTGTGAACTTTGTGGTAGAACATTTTCTTTTAAAAGCAGTTTACAGAGGCATCGTGTTGTACACACAAATGATAAGCCATTTACTTGTGAGTTATGTAATAAATCTTTTTCTCGAAAAAGTGATTTAAAACAACATAATTTTGTACACACCAGAGAGAAGCCATTTTCTTGTAAGTTGTGTAGTAAATCTTTTTCATCATGCAGCACTTTGAAACGACATCATCAAGTACACACAAAAGTAAAACCATTTACTTGTAAAATATGTAGTAAATCGTTTTTCCGAAACCGTGATTTAAATCTACATCATAGTGTGCATTCAAAAGAGAAAGAATTTTCTTGTAAGATGTGCAGTAAGTTTTTTACAACACAAAGCAGTTTGAAACGACATCATCAAGTACACACAAAAGTAAAACCATATACTTGTAGAATATGTAGTCAATCATTTTCTCGAAGTAGAGAATTAATGCTACATTTTCGTATACACAAAAAAGAGAAGCCATTTGCCTGTAAGTTGTGTAGTAAATCTTTTACAACATGCAGCAGTTTGAATCGGCATCATTATTTACATTCCAGTGAGAAATCATTCTCTTGTAAATTGTGTGGCAAAGTATTTGCAGTTCGTGAGTACTTAAGAGTGCATAACCTCTTGGTGCACATTAAAGAAAAGAAATATACTTGTAAATTGTGTGGCAAATCATTTGTTCTGAGCAGCACTTTGAAACGACATTACCAGGTTCACGCACGAGAAAAACCATGTTCTTGTAAGGTGTGTGGCAAATCATATTCAACAGGCTATATAAAAAAGCATTACCTTTTGGTGCATGTAAAGAAAAAACAGTTTGTTTGCAAAGTGTGTAATAAATCATTTTCTTTTAATAGCATCTTAAATCAGCACTATCAAGTACATTCAAAAAAATGCTCTTGTAAGGTGTGTGGCAAATCATATTCAGCAGGCTATTTAAAAAGGCATAACCTTTTAGTGCATGTAAAGAAGAAACAATGTGTTTGCAAAGTGTGTAATAAATCATTTTCTTTTAATAGCATCTTAAACCGGCACTATCAAGTACATTCCAAAAAATCCATTTACATTGATATTGTGTAGAAAATAATTTTCTAAAAATCAATCTTTAAAAATGCATTTTCATGTGAATACTTAGTTAGAATCCTTTATTGTAAAAAGTTTAACTAGTTTACCTTTATTTTACATTGAAATGTCTGTAGTAAATGATTAATACATACACACTAGTTGCAATACTGCAGAGCATGTCAGAAGAAAGAATTCTTTTAAATTTTATTTTATTAGATTTTTCAGCTGTCTCAAGTTCCTATGGATACAATTCTATGGAAACAACATGGAATTACAAAACATTTATGTCATATAAATTGAGCACTCTTCATGCAATAGTACCTTTGATCCATCTTAATAGCTTATTTTTGTTGATTCTCATACAGACTGACAAACTTACTTAATAGTTGTATTTGCAGCATCACACCACATAAACTCTCACTGTGCCCACCTGTAATCCCACCCATTCTTCACACAGAAACTCCCAACCCTGTTTTCTTAACATAACACTTTCTATGTGAATAACACATGTTGTTAAAATTATTCCCAGTTACTGTTAGTATTTTACTGTCTACCAATTAATAATAATTTATTAATAGACAGTGGTTGGTCTATATAGAAAAATAATAATCACCAATTATAACACAAAACTGCTTTTTTAAAAAATATTACAGCAGAGTAATTAGTGGTGCTTTAAGTGTTAATCATGCAGCCAATTGTGTGGTGCTTATCTATTTTTACAAGCTTTTATTTATACATCAGCATATTTTTATTATTAGCAATAGTTGTAAGATTTTATCTATTCCGTCTTTATATATCAGCATCTTTACATGTTGTGTTTTAAAAGTATTATTTAGTAATGATTAAAAATAATGAAGTTAAAAGCAATATAAAAAACACATTTTTGTTTATAAAAGTAAAAGTGATTAAATTTCATGAAGTACTTGCATGAAAGACAGTCTTGTCTTGTTTGTTTAGAAGGAAGTTACTGTCTCGTCTCTTGTGTATGTGAGTGGAAGAAAGCCATTAGTTTGAAGACATAGTTTGTATGGTTTGTATGAACAAATAAAGAGAAATTGATATACTGACTTTGTGTTAATAATTTAGTAGAAACTGGTGTACCAGAAGGGCAGCGTATTGGGATAGTGGTAGATCAGACATCTATTGTTGGCTAGATAAAACCTGAGCCACAGTATTTCAGTAGAGTTCACGTCATGGTCAATAGGGCAGATGAAGTAGAGTTCATGTTTCTGGACCTCAAACTATAAGTATAAAGGAATGGTTGAGAGGGGGGGGGGGGGTGCAAATCGAAAAGTTTGTCCCCGGGCGCCAGGAAGGGTCGCTACGCCTCTGCACAGACCCGCTCCCTTAGCATATGTTGTGTGACACCAATGATGGACAAACCCTGATCGATCATTTTGGTATGTGGTATCCATTTTGATAAGTAAATAGATCTAGATCTATGTTCAAAACGTTTTGAAAGATGGAGACTTCGGAGTCGACCATTGTAATTAAATAAATAAATAGATCTATATCTATTATCAAGTATTATCTAGCACTTTAAGTTAAGGGGCCATACAGACAATATAGACTTCTATTAGGCTATATAAATATCGCAAAACTTTTTTCTTTCATAATCAACGTGCAAAACTTCGATTTTTGCCTGAATGCGAGACTTCCTACTTAAAATATTTAGATCTGGATGCGGTATCTGGATCTATAATATCGGTAGATCTATAATAAAAAAATATTATTAATTTTTTTAAAATCGATTTTAAAGGGAAACAACGCTAAATTACATTTTCTTAAAAATGGCCGCCTCCTTGAAGAGAAAAGCTAGATCTAAATCTAGAAGTTATATTCAAAACAATTTAATTGATTTAGCGTTTTTTTAAATGGTGATTTAAACTGATTTATAATTAATATTCTAGATCTGAAGATCTATGTCCCTATCTACTAGGTACTAGGATTACATCTCGTTTTACCCCGCGCGGCGAGTTTTTCGTCCCCGTTACCCAGACGCCGAGAATTTGCGGCGACGCGAGTGCTATAGTTTCGTAATTTTTATCGCTCGGTGTTATCGCCCGATCAATTTTCGTGCGATTATCGATTTTTCATAAAAAATGGACATTTTGCGTTTTCATTGTTTTTTTAATTTTGTGCATGGATTATTCAAGATGGAGTGTTTCAGTGAAAATAAGGTAAGTTTAATTTACTCCCTACTGTTTATTTTTATAATAAACAGGAATTTTATTGCTTTACATGAATTCTACACCACTTTTCTCTATTGTTTCAAAAAATCAAGTTGTTTGGACATAGCGCACAAAAGTTATATGCTGCACAGATTTGCTACCTCTATAAAAAAATTTGTTTGTTTACAATATGAAAGCGAAAGTGGCAAGGGAGGTAATAGAAAAAAATATGTGGCGAGCTATGTTTTGACGCCGGCGATAGTGGCGAACGATGTTTTTCCGCCGGCGATAGTGGCGAATGATGTTTTGCCGCCGGCGATAGTGGCGAACGATGTTTTGCTGCCGGCGATAGTGGCGAACGATGTTTAGCCGCCGGCGATAGTGGCGAACGATGTTTTGCCGCCGGCGATAGTGGCGAACGATGTTTTGCCGCCGGCGATAGTGGCGAACGATGTTCTGCCGCCGGCGATAGTGGCGAACGATGTTTTTCCGCCGGCGATAGTGGCGAATGATGTTTTGCCGCCGGCGATAGTGGCGAACGATGTTTTGCTGCCGGCGATAGTGGCGAACGATGTTTAGCCGCCGGCGATAGTGGCGAACGATGTTTTGCCGCCGGCGATAGTGGCGAACGATGTTTTGCCGCCGGCGATAGTGGCGAACGATGTTCTGCCGCCGGCGATAGTGGCGAACGATGTTTTGCCGCCGGCGATAGTGGCGAACGATGTTTTGCCGCCGGCGATAGTGGCAAACGCTGTTTTGATATTGAAGGTAGTGGAGTAGAGGGGGGGAGGTTTGGTGCGGTAATAGCAATAAATGTTCAATATTTAATTTTAGTGTCTCCAGAAAAACCATTTTATTTATTTTGATGTGAAAGCAAATAATGTACTGTTTACTTTTCCAGATAGAACCTACACTTCAAAAAACCAGCACATCTCTACGATATGATAAGCAGTTATATGGCCTAATGAGGGAACACTGTAAAGAGGAATATGTGATATGAACTAGTTTTAGATTCTATATCATGTTAAAACCAACCAATGTTGAACTTCTTCTGAAATGTAAAATACTAATGAACAGACAGAAACACATCTTTTTAATTAAAGTATATATATAAGTAGACTAACAAGTTAATTACATTTATACAAATAAAAGACCTTACATTTCTAATAGATCTAATTTGCCATCATTTTTATTTTCATATATTAGTTCAGTTTTTCAATTATGTCAGGCGTGTGGATGACTCAGCGTTTAACCTTTTTACCATCTTTTGCCTATTTGTCAACTATTTAGATAGAACCATCAATCACACTTATTTCAGAGCTTCACTCTGGTTAGTTTTTAGCTTTAGATTTAAATAGTTTGGACCTAAGCTGATATTGTATGAACAAATTTCGTATTTAAAAATAGGGGGTGCACCCTGTTCCACCCCTTATTTTTTGTCAAACAGATAGATTTAAACACATATTTTGATTGTTTCTGTTTAAGAATAGAGTCATCTAGAGCCAGGCAAATTTTGAGACTTAAGTGCTTAATAACTCAAATTTGCCATCATGTTGCATTTCACATCAACAAGACTTCGGTTTTGCGAAATTGCATAATCTATCAGCTTTGTAGCAGTTAAAACAAAAAACTTTTCAGTTATGAATATTATTTTGATTGTAATAACTGACACATCCATAGCTCAACATTCTCAGCAAGTTTGAGCTTAATTTTTGGAATAGTTAAAATTTTAACTGAGATTGTATGAATGCACTGTATATGAAAAATTAGGGGGGGTACCCTGTTCTACTTCTGTTTTTGTTTAACTCTGCCCATAAATTTCTAATTTTATTGTTTATTATGCTTCCATATATAATAAATAAAGACATTGCAAAGTTATAACAAATTTGACCATATGGTTTACAAGCTAGAACAATTTTAGTAAACGCTTAAAAAAACTCTATCACAGAAATTGGAAAAAATCCTATGTTAAAAAAATCACATTTTTTAATACGAAAAAAAATCATAACTATTTAACCGTTTGAGCTACATCAAAAAGGAAAACTGTTCTGTTATTGTAATTTTCTGCTCCTTTTAACTGTAGTAGTTGTTTCCCTAAAAAAACAATATTAAAAATTTATCCTAGTACCTACTATCTACTATCTATGGACTTTTATAAAACGTGGGTTTTAGGGGATGGCTAAATTACTAAAATTGGTAATCTATCGTTTTAGGTACGTAAAATCGCCCGCGACTAGTAATGTGAAAATCAGGTGACTCCTTACATTTTAATAATTATTTCACATTTTGAGGAGGATTTATGTTTTGAAAAATACAAAAAATGTTTCCTTGTTTCATTTATGTACCTGTTTTTAAACAATTGAATTAAAACTTTTCAGTAATAAATGAACACCAGCGATGTTTCCAACAGATGCAACCATGCTCATTTACTATAGCAGCCATCTTGTTAAAGTTTTATTTTTATAGACTTATAGCGCAAGATTCAGGCGGAAGTCACTCTATTTTACAAATGGCTGCTGTTTATATAGCAAATCTTGCTTGCAGATACTGCTGTTTAAAGTTAATTTCTGGCCTATATTGATATATTTAGCCATTGATTTAGGTTTATTATTCATTTATCTATAATATTTGACACAAAAGTATGACAATATACTTCTATTAAAGCCTTGACAATGAGGTAACGTTTTCGTACATAAATAGCCGCGGGCGATTTTACGTACCCAAAACGATAGATTACCCTAAAATTTTATATAGATTTATACATTACTAGTTACTAGTAATAGTAATACTAGAAATATTATTAAGTATATAGATCTACTAGACTCTATATAGTATATTTTTTATGGTGCCCTGTCAAAACGGTCCGGGACAAATCGGCCCCGTCAAAACGGCCCCGTTAATACGACCCCGTCAAATCGACTCCCGACAAACCGACCCCGTCAAAATAGCCCCGTCAAAAGGGCCCCGACTTATTGGCTCCCGTCAAATGGGCTCCCGTCATATTGACTTGCGACATATAGGCTCCCGACAAATGGGCTCCCGACATTTAGGCTCCTGACAAATGGACTCCCGACATATTAACCCCTGACAAATAGGCTCAGGACATATTGGCTCCCGACAAAGCGGCTCCCGACATATTGGCTCCCGACATAAGGGCTCAAGACAAATGGGCTCCCGGCAAATGAGCTCACGACATTTTGGCTACCGACAAATGGGCTCCCGACATATTGGCTCCCGGCAATTGGGCTCCCGACATATTGGCTTTTGACAAAATGACTCCCGACATATTGGCTCCAGAAAAATGAATGATATGACCACTATTGGCATAAAAGTAACCATTGTGTCCTACCTCCAATACCACCATAACCTCTTTTTAATGCCCGAATGAAATTATTTTTTCATGAACCAACATTAATTCACAAATAAATCGAGCCCTTAACAGCTAAATTCCACCAATTCTAAAGTTTTGATAATGTTTAATTTACAACAGAAAAGATCTGTTGCTTAAAAGCGAGCACAGAAGTGTAAATGTATGATATACATGATGTTAACATGATAACAGCATTTTGTTTTGATAACCTACAAGCACAGTGGCGTAGCGAGGTCGGGTGTCACCCGGTGCGGCACTTAATGGTGTCACCCCCCCCCCCCCCCCCCCCCCAGAGGCGTTGCTACCCTTCCCGGGGACAAAATTTCAAGTTTTCGATTTGCACCCTCCCCCCAAACTTTCGATTTGCACCCTCACCCCTCAACTTTTTCTCTATATATTTTGCTATTTTTTGCCTTTGTGTCACCCCCCTAAATGGTGTCACCCGGTGCGGTCCGCACTCCCCGCCCCTCCCCTCGCTACGCCTCTGTACAAGCATATTGCAGTTAGGAAGGTACAGCGTGGACCCTTCTCCCCACACAATGAGTTGGAACAGCCTATAACCGACTCAATTATGGATGTCATAGATAGATGACCCTTAAATTAAAACATACTATATTTTATAATAGATAAACTAATATAAAAATAAGGCCTGCCGAACAAGAGATGCATACGTTGTATTACATAATAGTGTTGGATAAGCTAACTCTAAAGAATATTGATGAAGGGGTCCCACTGGCAGATGTCATATTCAATGAGACCGCTTTGCCGGGAGACTTAGTCTCTACAGAAACGGTATTGTCAGTGCAGTGGCGTAGCTAGGATTTTTGGGCCCCTATGCAAAAATTATCAGTGGGCCCCTTCGTCAGCCGTTAGGCCAGTGGCGTCGCTAGGTCGGGTCTCACCCGGTGCGGCACTTCGTATTGTCACCCCCTCCCAGGAAACAAAGCATATATATATATATATATATATATATATATATATATATATATATATATATATATATATATATATATATATATATATATATATATATGTGTGTGTGTGTGTGTGTGTGTGTCGGCCTACATAGGCCTAAAATTTATATATATGCCACATACTGGTACACGTACGTGTTTAAGCTTTAATCACTGCTGACTTAATAGTAACGATGTTTATCTACAGTCTGTTTATAATACAGTTGGATGTAGCATTGTTTTCTTTATAGTTTACGTTTACGTCGTGGTGTCACCCCCCCCCCCCCCCTCTTGATATAATTTTCGATTTGTACTTAGAAGACTATTTAACTTTAACTAATGGATCTGGAAAATGGCATTTCAATCTATAAATTTTACATTTTTTTGCCTTTGGTGTCACCACCCCCCCCCCCCCTAAATGGTGTCACCCGTTGCGGTCCGCACCCCCCGCCTCGCCTTCGCTACGCCTCTGCGTTAGGCTACAGAGGAGTTAAACGAAGAGATCAACTTCTACTTACGATGGATATTTTTTAATATATAAATATTCTGAAGGCAACATTTTGTATTTTATATGTCCTGATTTTGTATTTATACTATATTATTATGCTTGCCTACTACTGCTAAAAAGTTTATTTATAGGCTGATTCTCTCAATGTCTTGCACGACAAAGTGATATAGCCTGTAGTGTTATTATAACGATTGGGTTCTGTTTGACCCACAAACACTGAATTCCACTGCCGAAACGGTGGGGGGGGGGGGGGGATTTTTGGAACTTTTAACCTTTTTCTTTTTTAAAATTATTTATATGTAACAAATATTAAAATTCTATTGTAAAAGTTTTAATTTTTTATGAGGGAAAAGGGCCCCTATGTGCCTTGGGCCCCCATGCCTTGCTTACGCTAGCTTTATGGTAGCTACGCCACTGTTTCAGTGGTCCTTTTGTCTGGAGCCAAATTGACAGGAGCCTTTTTGTCGGGAGCCAAAATGACGCTAGCCTATTTGTCGGGAGTCGTAATGACGGGGGCCGTTTTATGGAGAAACTAAATGGCGGGAGCCTATTTGTCGGGAGTCGTAATGACGGGGGCCGTTTTGTGGAAAAAACTAAATGACGGGAGACTATATGTCGGGAGCCAAAATGACGGGAGCCTATTTGTCAGGAGCCTTATTGACTGGAGCCCTTTTGTCGGGAGCCTATATAACGGGAGCCTATTTGTCGGTAGCCTAAATGACGGGAGCCTTTTTGTCGGGAGCCTATATGACGGGGTCCATATGTCGCTGGCCCTTTTGACGGGGCCGACTTGACGGGGTCGTTTTGACGGGGTCGTTTTGACGGGGCCGTTTCGTCATTGGCCGAATTGACGCCGCACGATTTTTTATACTAGTATTAGTATAGGCCTATACTGGCCTATTGTATATTAATTGATAAATAATTGATTAATTAGCTTGGCGCCTTGGAGAAACTAAAAAAAAACTACAAAATTTAAAAAGTAGATCTATTTTAGATTCTAGATAGTAGATAGATAGATCTAGATCTAGATTATTATTAGATTCTCTAGGCCCTAAGTATTAAAAGACAAAAGCATTTATTTAGTGATTAGTCTAATTTTGAATTTTCATCAGCCATCTAGATTTTCTAGATCTACCAAATAAAATAATATAGAGATCTATATTCTAGAAATAATTAGGCCTAAGAGGCCACTAGGGCTGTATTATAAAAATAAGTATAACCGTGAGTATTACGGCTTTGAGAAGTTTACAATGGACAAACTTCATGATAAAAATACAAAATTGGTTTCAAAAGAATGGACCCTATTGATTATATTTCAAAGTTATTTGAGAGGCCTATTAAACTATTAAATATTTAAAAAATCATGCACGGTGTAGATCAAATTAATATGGTTATAAAAACCTGACTCTTTTGGTTTTAGTCGGACTTTAATATTAATAAAGATTGGATAGGCCTATAGGACCTATTTAATGTTTAAGTATTTTCAGTAGTTTGGTTTTCACATGGTAATGGAGACAAACAAAGACATCCTGCTATTCGATAAGCTAGCATAAATTTTATCATTCAAAATCTAAACAAAAATTGCAGAACTAAACTAGGTCATGTGGTTTAAAATAGTAGGCTCTATAATTTTATTTTAAAACTTTATCAGCACAGTTTTGTAAACAAATAAAAAAAAATATATATTTTGATCCAAAAAGATTATTTTCATAGAAGATACTAGATCTAGAGGGATTAACAGTTTTTAAAATAAAGTGGTTTTTAGGGAATGGCATGGTTAGACATGGGCCGATTGCTCTTGCGTGAACAAACGCTATGGATGCACATCCAGAAAAAAAGCAGGCTTAGTTGACACATTATACTAAGTAATGTTTGAGTGCCCCTTCAATATTCCACTTAAGCACAAAGAAGAAGAGGTGGGTTTTACATGGACTATACTTTCATAGTAGCAGCAAATATTGTCCAAATGTATTATAACCGTGCATCTCTTGAATTTTAGTTTTTCCAGCGCCTAATTTTTTTCTCAAATATAAATACTAACATTGTGTAACTTTATTTTCACAGTGCGAAAACAGTTCTCAACAGTAAAAGTCTGTTTAAGATTGTAAAGTAAAACTGGAACTCCATTAAAGTTACAAAACTATCAGATGTTTGTCTAACAATGCAAGTTAAAAATGGAATTGTCTATCAAAATTGAGCCAGATGATACATATTCTTCCTACTCTGACTCAGTTTCAAATAAACTCATTATATGCAATGCATTAGTACATGAAATCTTAAAAGATCATGACATTTATCATAAAAACACAATAGAATGTAATAATAGAACTCCTACATTCATATGCAGTTTATGCAATCAAGGTTTTACTATTATGTGTACTCTCAAAAGTCATCTTTATCTCCATTTAGAGGAGAAGCCTAGCACTTCATTTTCAAAAAATTCCAGATTGTTGCAGCTTCTTTTGGTTAAAGCAAAAGAGAAACAATTTATTTGTAACGTGTGCGGTGTGTCATTTACTCAAAAAAATCATTTAAAAGAACATTATAATATGCATGCTGAACATAAAGAACAGCTGTTCATATGTAAAGTGTGTAGGAAATCATTTTCTCAAAGCTGTGACTTGGAAAAGCATTATCTTGTACATACAGTAGATAAGCCATTCACTTGTAAAATCTGTGGTAAATCATTTACTCGAAATCATAATTTGACAGAACATTATCGTTTGCATACAAATGAAAGGCCATATACTTGTAACATTTGTGGTCAATCATTTATTTATAATTGCCATTTGAAAGTTCATCTCCGAGTGCATACCCTAGAGAAGCCGTTCCTGTGTAAACTGTGCACTAAATCATTTACTCGATACTCCCAGTTAAAAGAGCATCTTAGAGTGCACACTAATGAGAAACCTTTCGCCTGTACAGTTTGTGGTAAATCATTTTCTCATACTGGAAATTTAAAAGTGCACTTTCGTATGCATACAAATGAGAGACCATTCTCTTGCAAATTCTGTTGTAAATCATTTGCACAAAGTGGTCATTTAAAACAGCATCTTATTTTGCATACTAATGAGAAGCCATTCAGTTGTGCATTGTGTTCTAAATCATTTTCCCAAAGTATCCATTTGAAACGCCATAAAATTGTGCATACAAAGTTGAAGCCTTTCACATGTAAAGTGTGTATGAAATCATTTACCAATGAAAGGTATTTTAAATATCATTGTCTTTTGCATAAAAGGTTTTACAGATGTGACCATTGTGGTCAATTATTCATTCAGTTTAAATCCTTAAAAAGGCATATAAGCATGCACTTAAAAAGTGCTATGTTATGCTTTTAAAAAGCATATCAATTTTCACTTAAAATGTAAGTCTTGTGATTTTTAAAGAAAAAAAAATTGCTTGTGTTAGTTATGTTAAAAACTATATAAACTGTTATTTTGAAGGTATCTGTTTATAAAGATTTTTTTATTTACCTCTTTAAATAATTTAAATTTATTTAATAATAACTTTTTATACTTATTACAGAGTATAAAAATGGTTTGAGTAATAGCTGTTCAGCTGATTATTATACTACTGAGATTTAATTTAACTTAATGTTGATAGTCAAAACTGTTTTTATGCATAAGAGTGAGTTGTTATGTTACTGCTATGGTATTATTGTAATAGCATCATTTTAGCCTGTTTATATTTTATTGACCTTGAATTTGGCACAAGTCAACACAAAATAAAATAAAGTGAATTTTGTTTTGTGTTCAATTGTGCCAAATTCTTAGTTGCCTCATTAGTTTTTCCCACGTTTTCTTTAACTTGCTTTCTCTGTTTGTTTTTCCAATCAAATCTTGCGATCGAAATTTCTGGCACTTTCCAGTTAGCTAGCGCGCTGAAATTTTCAGGGAAGCTTTCTTTTGGATGACCATAGAATATTCAATTGTTATTATTACTAAATTGATCAATGGAAACATTTTATTGAGCATTTTAGACCGCTATATAATCTATATATATAATTCTCCTCTGCGAGCCATTAGAAAAAAAACGAGCGACGCGTAGCTCGCCTCTCTCTTGCCGCGCGCAGTGACGCGAACGATCCCACGTCGCGACAGGCTTAGGGGCAGATAATTTAGTTTGAACCGACTTTAAACTTACAGGAGGTAACTATTACCACTGGTGGCCAGTTTGGGGGAGACGATATGGTCGAGTGGTTGGGCACACGATTGCTATCCCACTCGACACGGGTTCAAATCTATGTGTTCTAGTCAGTAACCAGCCCTCGTCCTAACCGCTATCAACTAACCTCTGACAATCATTCACTTGCGATTGAGACCGAAGAAGAAAGGGTCTCTCGTTTTTTACGAGTTGTCTTTTTACGAGTTGTCTTCGTTTACCCAAAAAAAAGTGAAAAGATAAAATCGATAGCAAGATTTCAATGCAAACAAACAGACAAAGACTAAAAAGTAGAAAATAATAATCATCAAAAAAGTTTTTAAAAAACCCACGTTTTCTGATTGAACTAAAAAGTAGAAAATAAATACTATACATCACAATAATGCAAGCGATCATTCTACTATAAGCGATGAAAAACGTGGGGCGCCGTGATTTTCTTACAGTTTCTAATACTGTTGACTCTCTACAAGCTCCCTAATAAAAGTCAATAGTATTATCTAATCAATAGTAATATAACTTTTACTTCGGCGCCCCACGTTTTTCATCGCTTATAGTAGAGTGATCGCTTGCATTATTGTGATGTATAGTATTTATTTTCTACTTTTTAGTTCAATCAGAAAACGTGGGTTTTTTAAAACTTTTTTAATGATTATTATTTATCATCATGATTATTATTGTTGATATATGTTACTTCTTATGCTTAATGAAATAAATTCTTATCAAATTCTATTTAAACTATGTAGATTTTACATTATTTATCTAATTAAAAATAGTACTTATATATATTAAATTAAAGGGGAACAACACTCAGCTATATTAACGAATTATCAAAAAATAAAAAAAGTAAAATTGTTAGCAGTCATTATGCCTTAATCTCCACACACTGCTATAAGCTAATTGTGAAATTTTGAGAACATTTGACAGAATTTCGCTTAAGAATTTAAAATGTTGGTATATCTGATAACAAAGAACTTTATTATTGTTGCTTTAAATAAAAGAATTAGCAGATTCTCTAAAATTAACTTTAGTGGTTGCATGTTTCTAAATTTTCACACACAATATTAGTTGTTTAAAAAAAAAAACAATATTAGATAATGCTTACATCAACCACAAAAAAGGATATAATAAGAAAAATGTTTATTTCATTGACAGCCTGTGAGAGGATTCAAGCACCTTACTTATTTCTTTTATTGTTGGCCACAATAAGCACTATCTAAAACCAATACACGTTCAAAAATTCTAAAAATATGTATACCTATACTATACTAATTAGATAATATTTGAGAGGAAATACATGTTGTTTATTTCTTCATTCTGTGACAGTATAAGCACTTCTAATATCTAATTTTTAGAAAAAGTGGAAACTAAAAGATTACCTATAGAAACAATAGTGACTTGCCCCATTGACAATGATGGGTTCGCCAAAAAAAAAACAAAAAACACTCAATCCCAACACATTTCTGCTGTGTGTACCAGGCTCGCGAGCCTCACCAGGTACTCAAGACATATTTGTGGGTATCATTTACCCATGTCATTCCACAGAAATCATTTCAAGCTCAGAAGAAACAACCTTAGAAACCTGATAAGTGGAAAAGAGTAGTTCTCTTCCAAACCGTAAGGTCAATGGGGCAGGTGAAGTAGAGTTCATCTGTTACCGAGATCTCGGCATATGTGTGGGGCATATCAAGATGTTGTGGTTGGCACAATGCCCAGCCGCCTTTAACGTCAGGTACCCATTAAAGCTGAGTGGATTCAGAAGAGGTCGTACGGACTCGAGTACGGGAACCGAATTCAAGACTTTCCGAATTGGCAGTCAAACACTACACCAGAGGCGTAGCGGGGGGCGGGGTTGCGGACCGCACCGGGTGACACCATTTAGGGGGGGGGGGGTGACACCAAGGCAAAAAATAGCAAATTATAGAGAGAAAAATTTGAGGAGGGGGGTGCAAATCGAAAATTGAAAGTTTGTCCCCTGGAAGGGTCGCTACGCCTCTGGGGGGTGACACCATTTAAGTGCCGCACCGGGTGACACCCGACCTCGCTACGCCACTAAATTACACTCCCCCCCCCCCCCCCCTGATTGTGAATAGGAAATCTCGTGATGTAACTACGGGAGAGCAAAGCAGTTATTCTTCAAATAGCTACACAGTAAAAAGTCCCAGTATGATGACAACCTACTACAATGCGAGTAAAGTGAAAACAGAAAAGCAAGAGCAAAAATGACGTGTGTAAAGTGTAATGATGAGACTATCAAGTACCTCACACTCAATAAATTCTGAGATAATTTCGCTAAATAGACTTAAGCCAAGGCATCCAGTTTTTTCTTTTGAGATTTGCTACATAGCCTTTGTCAGTCCAAGAAAAAGCGACAAGGCAGCAGTTGTTTGATTTTGAAGTTTTCTCTCCTAGATGGGTTGCTGTCCGCAGCTTTCGGGCCTCACCTGCATGTGGTTTAAACTCGGGACATTCGGTTTAGAAACAATGAGCTTTACTTGTCTGAAAACATTGACACCTCCAGTCATTATTAATTGAAAACCGATACAATAGGTTGGATCATTCAATGATCGCAATGAGAATCTTTGCTGAGAAAGATGAGCGGGTCTATAAGCAGTTTATTATCTCCCATATTGTTAACGAATATCATCAAGGGAAAATACTTGCTATAAAACTACAAAAATTTAGAACAAACTTTTAGATTTAGTATTTGTTCAGATAACAAAAATAAAACGTTTGTCACTTTTTTTAAAACTATTTTTTTAAAGTTTATAGTAAAATTCTGTTTAATTGTTGAGGCAAATCAGTTAAATTATTGATGTAATTAAAATAACAATGCTTCAGTGATTTCATAATATTACCTGTTGAAATACAACCGAGTTCTTCTGTTATAATTGTCTTATTACCAAATCATAGTGAGGTTTATTCCACCGTAACGAACATAAACAATTACTAGATAAACTGCCCTTTGAGGGAGAAATACAATCAGTATTCACAGACTTACTACACACGACTTTTCATTACACGAACCGACAAGACGACAAAAACAAAATAGACACACCCTTCAACCTAGACGACATCAAGAAAGCTATCGAAAAACTAAACGACAATAAAGCCCCTAGACCTGACGGCCTGACAAGTGAATTTTATAAAACTTTCATTGCAGACCTAAGCCCCTTCTTATTAGACACTTTTACTGAAATATAGATGTATGTAAGAGCAGTGCCGTGAAAACTTTAATACATCATATATAACACTTATCCACAAACCAACTACAGACCCTACACTAACCAAAATCTATAGACCCACCTCCCTTCGAAATACAGACTACACAATATTAACCAAAGCCCTGTAGCCAAAATAGAACCCTATCTACCCAAACTAATACATACCTTTAAAATAGGTAAATCGGTTAGACACGGATGCCCCCTATCACCCATAATATACATATTAACCCTACTAGAACCATTACTAGAAAGTATCAGATGAAACGCGGCTATAAAAAAAATAGACATTCCGAACTCGACTAACAAAAAGATCTTAGCATGCGCAGATGATATCGCCGGCCCTACATTAATGACAGAAACCTCAATTAAAATAATCACAAGTCACAACACCCTAGAACAGAGCAAAGCACAAGTGGGGATAAACATACATGATACACAAACTAAAATAAACACGTCCAGGCTAACATATGTAAACATAATAATTAGCAAACCAAAATACCACCCATTCGCACACTACTACACAGGCATAAAGCTAAACAAACTCTTTAAAATTCACAATTCAACACATTTTGTAAGGAAAAACTTCATGGCTGAAGCAGCAACTGAGTTTCACATGTCCAGAGTTTCTTCCAGGCATCTCTTCGGGGGGGCGAACCCCCCCCCCCCCCCCGAAATTTTTTTACCGCCCCCCCCCCCCCCCGAACGAAATGAAATTTATGTAATTTATATAGAAAATATATACTTTTAACAGTGTCCGCCCCCCCCCCCCGATGAAAGTTTACCGCCCCCCCCCCCCGAAGATTTCAAGTGCCCCCCCCCCGGAGAAAAAAGTCTGGAAGAAACACTGCCCATGTCATTTGCATGTGAGATTATCCAAGACCTCCAGCTGCAGTTTCAGTGGTAGTTTTCTGACTTGGATTCAAAACATGACTGTTTTAAAACCTATTTGAAGTAGATTCTATATGTGGCCAGTTGCTTAGACGAACTGCAGCTGGAGGTCATTCTGTTGCAAGCAAATGACCTCCTTAGGCGACCTTAGGGACCTTTTGTCAGTGTTGGCCTTTTGTCCGGATCCCTTTTTTGTTGACCACCCGTGTGGACGTTGTAAATGGATGATACATTATTTAAGTTTTTATCAATTCAAGAAAGATTCTTTTTTTAAAATCCTGGTATGTGATCACTTTTAACGTATTAACACTAGTTAGCCAAGTAGCCTATAAGTTTACAGAAGTGCAAATAAGTAAAGCAACAAAAATGCTAGCACAGAATTTAAAAGGCCGAAGTTCTCAGCAATATTTATACTAGGCCTAGAATTTATATCCTATCCCAGCTGTTTTCACAGTAGACTACCCTACACCACAATACCCTACGGTACACATTACACCCAGTGCAGTAGATTATACACAGTAGGCTACACACTGTTTATGATAGTGGTTTACGACCGGTTATCTACTGCACTGCTGAAGGAAGTTTTTATTAAAGTTGGTTTTTCATGTTGTGGCCTAAATGCACTCAATTATATTTATAACACACGTCTATGTGAGTTTTTAAGTAGGGAGGTAGGTTGGGCGGTACTATCATAATAATAATATAAATAAATATTAAATAATATTAGCCCTTTTTAAGTTTTTATTCTTAATAGGCCTAAATTATATTAATTAATATTTTAAATATAGATCTAGATCTTGTTAAATTATATTATTAGGCTTAGTTCTACTAGTTTAGTACTTAGATTCTAATACGTTAACACTTTTATTAAATTATTTTTAAGCAGTGTTTCTTTCACACTTTTTTCTCCAGGGGAAGGGGGGGTGGCAGGCACTGGTAAAAGTATATATTTATATTTTCTATATAAATTCAATTTCGTTTGGAGAGGGGGGGAGGGTGGGGGTAGACCAGTAGCGTAGCAAGGGGGGGGGGACATATGTCCCTGGGCGCCGACCTTAGGGGGCGCCAAAATGGGTTGGAAAAATAAATTGAAAGGTTGAGGGAGGTGTAAATCGAAAGTTTGAGGGGGGGGGGGGTGCAAATCGAAAAGTTTGTCCCCGGGAAGGGTCGCTACGCCTCTGGGGTAGACTGGAAGAAACTCTGCCCCAAACAGGTACATCAATACTAAGAAGAGTAGGCTACTTAAATTGCTAAATTAGTAGTGAGTAGGCCTAAAAAAATTACAAAGTTAACTAAGTTCAATTTACTGAAGACTTGTGTTATTTAGCTGATTAGATTAATTAAACTTCTATTATTAATGCTAACCGTATGTATACTTTAACCAGTGTCCCCCACCCCTGAAAATTTAATCTGCTCTTGTGAAAGTTTCAAGTGCCCCCCCCCCCCCCTCCCCCCAGAGAAAAAGTTTAGAAGAAACTCTGCCACCTTCCTCCCAATACAACAGCATCAACCAGACATCCCATAACTCCCTTTCTCCACATATCCCATCAGCCACAGCCAAGATGCTGGAACTCTTCTGCGACCTCTGCACTGCTCACACCCTCATCATCTTCACCGTAACCTTGACCCTCGTCTGGCTCACCTCCACGCTCCTGCAGAGACGGGGCGCCCCGCCTGGACCTTTCCCGCTGCCTGTGATTGGCAACCTGCTCATGTTTGCGTCTGCTGGCACAAAACAGTTGGAACTTTTTGAGGACCTGCATGCAAAATACGGGAAAATATTTTCTTTTTCCCTGGGGGCGCTGAAGTTTATTGTAATAAATGATATAAAGGTCATGCAGGTTAGTGGTGTAAAGGTCATTGTATAGAAAGGTCATGTAGCATACGGATCATACAGGCAGTATAAAGGTATACAGTAGCATAAAGGTCTTGTAGTTCAGTAGTGTTTAGATCATACAGGCTAGTGGAATAAAGGTCATACAGGTTAGTGGAATTAAATTCAGCATGCTTGTCTTAAAGAGTATTCAGATTACAGGTTTTAAAAAAGTTTAACAATATTCGGTCCTGCAGAGAGTATTACAAAGATCATAAAGTTGTATGAAATATAAATTTATTTTAAAAAATTATTGTGTTGTTAGCTTGTGAGAAGACATGTTCTACTTTATTCTTTATGGTTCTCAACCCACAATGTTCTTGTTTACATAATTGATAGGGAGATGTCCAAGTGCTTCAGATTTTAGTGTGGAAATGTTGTATACTGTAAGGTGTTGTTGCTAAAAATTTGGTTCAGCTTGTTCTCTATTAAATTACCCTCAAGATAGAGCTTTTGCTTTCTAAATTATAAAGTTTTACACAAATGCTGACTACGTTCTGTGTAAGAGGAATATTTGTTAATACATAAAAATTTAATTTAAAATACTAAGAGACATTTAAAGTTTATCAGTAAGCTAAAGTTGTGTCTTTCTAAATTATAAAAAAAATTAACACTAAATTCAACTTGTATAAAAGTATTAGATTTTAATACAGTAATTGTTTTTTTTTAGAAAACTAAGAGACATTAAATATGTGTCTAGAGGTTAAAACTTATGTCTTTCTAAATTAAGAAGGCCAAACACCAATTACAACTTGTAAAAAAAAATTAGATGTTAATATAATATAAATGAATGTGTTATTTAGAAAAATGAGAGATTTTAAATGTTTACCCACAGAATGCCTTTGTCAAACAAGGCAACATTTTCAGCAACAGACCTCATGAGAACCTGTACATACTTAAAATAACGGAGGACAAAGTTGGTCGAGGTCAGTTAGGATGATCTTTATCAGAACTCTTTAATTAAAGAAAGTTGTAAAGGTTAGGCCTACAATTACAAATTTTTAATTTTCAACAGTTACAATGTTATTTTACAGTTGTTTAATTTAAAGAGGGAAGAAAATTGTTTATTTTTAAAGCTTTCATTTAAGTATCATTAGTTTTGATTTTAAGACATATAGATTTTAAACAAAAGTAATAATTTGATATATCTTCATAAAGTAGCATAACTCTAGGACCTAGAGTTATGCTACTTTATGAAGATATATCAAATTATTACTTTTGTTTAAAATCTATATGTCTTAAAATCAAAACTAATGATACTTAAATGAAAGCTTTAAAAATAAACAATTTTCTTCCCTCTTTAAATTAAACAACTGTAAAATAACATTGTAACTGTTGACAATTAAAAATGTGTAATTGTAGGCCTAACCTTTACAACTTTCTTTTCTCTAGGTATTCTTCTTCTTCTTCCTCGTTCTTAATTATTAGTGTATTGAACTGACAGTTTTGATATCTACTACATAAAAACTGTATAACTGTTTCTTTAAACATAAACTGCAAGGTACAAGGTACTTCTTTGTTCTTTGCAGCACAGTATACTGTGATGTGATATTATTTTTTCCCTGTAAGGTTCACTTTAGGATTAAGGTTAAGACCAGGTTTATGATCACTGCTATGGTTTGTGGTAATGTGTCAGTGCTAATAAATTGTATCTTTATAAATCAACATCAGAGGCGTAGCGACCCTTCCGGCGCCCGGGGACAAACTTTTCGATTTGCACCCCCCCTCAAGATTTCAATTTGCACCCCCCTAACCTTTCAATTTATTTTTCGAACCCATTTTGGCGCCCACTAAGGTCCCCCCCCCCTCGCTACGCTACTGATCAACATCAATGAAAAAAAACAACTAAATCCTAGCCTAATATCTGCCATCTTCAAACATCACAGGGCTAATTCTAAGCGATGGGGTAGAAGGAAAAGAAATACGTAAGGTCAGTTTAACCGCCATGCGGGATTTAGGGTTTGGCAAAAAAAGTTTGGAAGACAAAATCGACGAAGAGGCTCAGGTCTTGCTGGAACTCCTGGACAAGCAGGAGGGGAAGCCACTCACTGCCAAACGTCTGCTGTCAAAAGTGACATCCAATGTTATTTGTAGCATTATATTTGGTTCCAGGTACATTTTATGGTAACTCTCTGTTGAGATAAAATTAGTATTAAAATAGTACTAATTGAAGAAATTTATAATCTAATAATCAAACATTAAATGAGTTAAATTTCTGCTGTCAATTGTAATCTAATAATTTTTTTTTTGGAAACGGCATTAAAGGAAAGTACTCTTTAAATATTCGATTAATTAAAACTTTGTTGTGCTTGATGATCTAAGGTTTCGAATTTTTTTTTTTCACGATTTAATCTGTCAAGATTCCCTTTGTTTAATAACCATTAAAACCAAATATATATGTTAAGATATATTGTTTTGTTTTACAGATTTTCTTATGAAGATCCAAAATTTACAAAACTTCTTGCCATCCTGGAAGAGTCAACTAAAGTCAACCCCATTTTTATTCCGGTTAATTTTTTTCCAATTTTAAGATTTATCCCAGCTATGCAAAAGGTAGGGGACTTTTATTCTTTACACATTTGATAAATTCTATTTTTGAAATGGAGGAGGTTGAAGGTGGGGGAGGAGGGGGAGAGTAGCCTAAGCCCTAAATGGTCTTGTTTAGAATAGGGTGAGAAAATGGAGTACTTTGTACTTTGTAATTTTAGTTATCTCCCTTGAATCACAGTAGTAATACGCTTATTTCTATAATTAAAAAAAAAAAACAGTTTGACCTACTCTATAATATGTTTAAAAATTTAACTCAACATGTAGATCTACGTCATAGATCTATTAATAATCAAATTTTTTAACAGCCAGAAAAATTAAAAGCTGATGGTAAGAATTGAAGAAATGTTAACATAAATTAGATAATATAAGGGGAAGCTATTATGATTTTGCTAGCCACACAAATATTTTCTGAGTTATCCACTTCAAGAACCATTGAAATGTCTATACCCACACATATTGTGTGCTCAAACCCAACTGGTTCACTGTTCAACTCATATTTTAATCAGAGTTTCTTTCAGACAACTATTCGCGAGGATGGACGGGTGGTGGATGTATTTTGAAAATATGGCTACAGGACATTACCCCCCCCCCCCCGGACATTTCCACCCCCCCCCATTGCCCTAGCCCTAACCCTAGATCTAGACCTAGACCTAGCCCAAACTCAAACCCTAGCTGAACCTTAAGCTATGACTGAGGGGTAATGTTCTACTGGGGGGGGGGGGGGGGTAATTTACAGGGGGTAATTACTCTGGGGGGTAATGACAGGGGGAAATGTCGGGGGGGGGGGGAATGCCCTGTTGCCCCATTCCCAAACATATATACTTTTATCAGTGCCCATATCCTCCCCCCTCCCCAAAACCAAAATCCTCAAGTTCTCTCCCCCTCTCTCCCAAGAGAAAAATGTCTGAAAGAAACATGGGTTTTAATGCAGTAATATTACTGAACAGCACTTTAAATAAAAAAAAAAAATCTTTTTATGACTTATATTTTATCAATTCTGTGACAGAAAATAGACACTTTTATCCATACATTTTATGGTTTTTATTTGTTATGCTATTTTATAAAATCTCTGATAGCGAAAAGACACTTTCATCCATACATTCAATGGTTTTTATAATTGTTCTGCTATTTTACAAAAATCTCTGACACCAAATAGACACTTTTATCCATACATTCAATGGTTTTTATAATTGTTCTGCTATTTTATAAAATCTCTGTAGACACTTTCATCCACACATTCAATGGTTTTTATAATTGTTCTGCTATTTTATAAAATCTCTGACAGCAAATAGACACATTTATCCACACGTTCAAGTCAACGGATGACTACATCCAGCAACTGACTCTGGACCATGAAAAGTCATTTGATCCAAAAAATATCCGAGACTTTGTTGACATGACCATTGAAATGAGAACAAAAAACAAAGGCAATGTCCACTTTAGTGGTACGGATGTCTTCTTATGTCAAAAGTTAATTTTCATCATTTGTGTTTTATTGTCTGTTGTAAAAGTTTTTAATTAAATAAAATAGTTAATGAATTTAATTAGAATATAACAATGTATAATCTAAATTTAGTTATTTACTACTGTTATCAGTTAATGTTATTTCTTCCCTAACCTTGTTTCTAACTCCTGCCTTAAAAATTATCATGTTTTCGAAGGTAAAAAAAAAGAATTTATAATGCTGGCTGAGTTATACTATAGTATACTTATAGTCCTACTGTAAAATTATTTATAATTTTTACTCTAATTTTACTTCTTCAACTGTACTCACTTTTCTTATTAATTATTATATTTTTAAGTCGATTTAAAAAATTAAAATAAAGTGCCCCCAAATATTATTTCAAAGATACCAACATGCGCCATGTGATTGTTGACTTGTTTCTTGGTGGGTCTGACACAACAGCTACCAGTTTGGACTGGGCTTTGTTATTTATGGCTGCCTATCCAGACATACAGGCTAAATGTCAACAGGAAATTGACCAGGTAAGAACCAAGATGTTGGCCAAATATTCTTTGTTGTAAAATGTGTCATTATCTTTGTATAAAATGTCCTTTAACTTTAAAATTAATATCATGTGAAAAATTTGCTTGATTAGTCTTTTAAAAATGTGCTTGATTAATTAAATCTTTTAGTGATCCTATATTGTTTATTGGTTTCTAACAGTAAAACAAATGTGTAATAACTATAATGAACATTTTAAATTGTATTTAAAATGTATAATAACAAACATTTAAGCTGTTGGTTACAAATAGAAAGTGAACATCAACATTTCATATATATATATATATATATATATATATATATATATATATATATATATATATATATATATATATATATATATATATATCAATTGATTTGATAAAAGGCATTGGGTAAAGGCAGAAGAGTTACAATAGCAGACAAAGCCAACATGAGATACACAGAGGCAACACTGTTAGAAGTGCTCAGGAGTAAACCTGTGGGTAAGATAGCATTGCTACTGCCACATTTATTCTTTCATTATGTCTATTGGAACAATTAAAATAAATTGTGTTTTTATATTTCCACAGTCAATATTTTTCAATAATAATAATCTTTTCACAATCACATTTATATTATTGCAAATTAATACACATTTTACATTTCTTTTTCTACAAATTAAATTTCTTTTTACTTATCTATTACCAGTAGTTAATGTTACTTTCACATGTTATTTACCTCAAATTAATGTTCTTTTAGCATTTTTATCACAAAAAATCTTTTTTTTTTTGTTTTACCTTTCTACAGTTAAAATGTTTAAAGTCACTTTGTTCCAGAATTACAATTTTAGCATTTCTATAGCCATAAATATTTTTACAAATATTTCTCTTGCCAATTTCTTATAAGATCTAATTATTTTTTTACTTTTTTTTTATACTTCAGCCCCCTTGTGCCCACCCCACTGTACTTCAAGGGACACAACTCTGTGTGGCTACACCATACCCAGCAACACCATAGTACTCTCCAACATCAAAATTATAAACAATGATCCTGCGCTATGGCCAGAGCCAGAGAAGTTTAGTCCCTCCAATTTCCTGGATTCTAATGGAAACATCATCAACAGAGAGAAGCTCATGTCGTTCTCAGTGGGTTAGTTCATGTTTTTAATTTCTGGATTTGTTTTGTTGTTTTTTTTTCTCTAGATTTTTAAATTGTCAGTGATTTTTAATTTACCCTTTTCTCAATTTTAAAATTCACATTTAATTTAAAAAATTATTTTAAAAATATGTTATGGTTTATTGGTGAAAAACAAAAAACAAAGCTCCAATACTACTATTATCCAAAACTTATTTTAAATGGAAATATCATCAACAGAGAGAAGCTCATTTAATTCTCAGTGGGTTAGTTCATGTTTTTAATTTCCAGATTTGTTTTGTTGTTTTTTTTTTCTCTAGTTTTTTAAAATTGTCAGTGATGTTTAATTTATATTTTTCTCAATTTTAAAATTCACATTTAATTTAAAACATAATTTAAAAAAATATTTCATGGTTTATTATTGAAAAACAAAAACAAATCTCCAATACTACTATTATTATCCAAAACTTATTTTAAATTGACTTCATTATTTGATTCAAACCTTACAAAAATGCATAAAGAAGATAGTTTAATAAAAAAAAAAATGGAAGTAAACTTACTATTTAGATCTGGCAATCCATTGGACAGATGAAGTAGTTTATATTTTTTTTGGCCTAGGTATATAAAGAGATGGTGTGTTCAGCACTATGCCCTGCTGCCTTTACATTCCCCAATGTAAGTCAGGTACCCATAAGAGCTGGGTGGACTCAGGGCTAGCAGCTAAACACTGTACCATTCTGCCACACCACCCCATATAGTTTATTATGGTGTCTGTTATAGTTTGTAAGTCAGGTTCCTTTTTATAGATTCAACTGTCCATTGTGGAGTCATTAATGCCATTTTGTGAAATTTGGCTTGTCTCTGTAAGAATAAGAATAGATTTTAATTACTTACTTACTTAATCCTTGTCACTTCATGTGAAATAAAGGGCAGCAACAAATCTCAGCCATTCCACTTTGTCTTGGATGAGCCACTTTAATTCATTCCAGGTTTTGCCAGTAGCCTGCACTTCTTTCATCTCTCTCCTCCATGTTCCCAGTGGTCTTCCTCTATTTTGCTTTCCATGTGGAAAAGTGTGAGGGTGGGGGTTTTAGGAAAGGCCGGAACGAATGAATCCAACAACACGCAGTTCAAGTTCAACTATAATTGTTCTTTATTAAAATGATATATATGCTCAAGTTTCTACCTAACTGATCTACACTGTACTATTTACTTCTACTACTGACTGTTCACTATACTACTAACTCCCACGACCAATCCTAACACTATCTACATTCTACAACCTAACACCTTCTCTACTCTTCGCTATCTAATCATGATCTCCTAACTATCTACATTCTCGGCCGTCTCTGACCGCTACCTATCACCGTCCTCGCCTATCGCTCTACTGCCCCACGCCTCAGTGGTCAGCTGACCGTCCCACGTGACCGGTCAGCCCTGTGCGCCCATTGGCCTCTCTACCCAACCAACTAGGCCCATCGTCTGTTTCTGCTAACCTATATCTGCTAAACATGTCTGACGTAATCTTGCGTCATCACATATCTCCCTCCCTTTCTGTAGCTGACAAATTATATTTTTCAGCGTCTGCTACTAATCTAATACATCAACAACTATCTATCTTACTACTCTATTCTATCCCTAACATCAATCATATAAATCGAATACAAAATGGGACAGCACAGTTTACAAAAACATAAATTCTTGTGTCTGTGTTCCTGAATAAAAAAAATGTCATTGTTCTAGTTCTCGTGCAAGTATCCTGACGTCTGTGGTGTCTCTGCTTGATAATGTATGTCTATGTTTCATGGTATGTGTGAATCCAATCATGTGCAACTCAGTTCTGGCTAGGTTGTCGTGTACTGGCCTTGAGTGAATGTAGTGGAAATGTGTAACTGGTTGAACGGGCTCTGCGAGCAGTGTAAGTGTGTGTGTGTGTAAGTGTTATGTAATTATTGGCGTTCATCTGTGGTGGGTGGGTTGTGGCGTTGGTCTACGTAAGTTCCCGTGAGGCGGGTGTAGGCGTAACTTTCGTTGGTCAATGTGATGACGCAACAAACTCAACGCTGGTTGAGACGTCCACGTAGAGTGGTTATGCGATGAACTGGAGCTGTCTGATGCGGTGGCGAACAACGACGTAACGTTCCGACGCTGGGAACTTGGACGATGGGTCGTCTACCCTTTGTATGTGCCGACGTAGGTGTACGTAGCTGGCGGTCTTGTTATTCAACTCCAGTGCGGGGGCGAAGCGGTGGCGGTGTGTCCGCTATCTTGACCAGGGCAATTCGCTGTTCGGCAGGGCTGTTCGCTGTCCAGGTAACTCAACGTAATCAGGGCTTCAGGTGGCGGCATTCTTTGAAGTGTCTGCTTCATCTCGTCTCATTCTGAATAAGCGTAGTGGGTCTGAAATTGTATTACGAGACCATGAGCAATGGTTTTACGTGGACTTTTTATTGCCCGCGCAGACAAGTATTCAGACAGAGGTACCTTCCATTAAAAAAAACTCAATCCCAAATTTATACGTGCTGAACATTTGTCTGGCGGCATAAAAACCATAAAAAAAATAACATTACAACATATAACCAAATAAAAAAAAATCAGTACACTCTAATCTAACAACAATCTGTAAAGCCTAATAAACTCAATAGACGTAAACACTACTAGAGCTTAGAAATAGCTTCACAAAAAGAATAGACATGTGAGTGTATATAATAATCGTGCCGTTTCAAATAACATTTGAACACGTAATCATATAGTGGAGCAGCTCTCACTATCTGACTTCTGACAAAAACTGGCTGGCTTGACTTAATGACTGACTTCACTTTTGACTTCAGTAACTTGACTTATTTCACTTTAACTGACTTCAGTAACTTCACTGACTTCAATTTACGACTTATTTCCCATTCACGATTAACTTTACTTCGACGATTTCAACTACTTCCATTTGCCGACTAACTTGACCTAGACGACAGATTTCACTGACTGACTTCAATTCAACTTAAAAGACTTCACTGACTGACTTAAACTTCGACGACTTAAACGTCTTCACTGTGACTTCAATGACTTTTCCTTGACTGCAACATGACTTCAACAACGTCACTATGACCTCAACGACTTTAACAACATTGACTGACTTGACTGACTTCAAATAACTTCTTTGACTTCAGTTCTGACTTATACTTCACGCCGATTTCTCGGCGACTTAATTCCTAACATTCTTGATGACCAGAGTTGTATGACCTATGTTCTAGTTGCGTGACAGCGTGTCGGCCAACACGTTTTGTGTGCCGGGGACAGGAACAATGACAAATTGATAATCTTGTAAGCTCAGTGCCCAGCGTACCAGTCTTGCGTTTGACAGCTTCTTTGTTTTTAGTGCTTGTAGGGGCGCGTGGTCGGTCTGTAAAGTGAAGTGTGCACCGGCCAGGTATCTGGCAAACTTGTTTATGGCCCAGACTATGGCCAGACATTCTTTCTCAATGACTGCGTAATTTTTCTCAGCTGACGACAATTTTCGGCTAATGTATTGAACTGGGTGGAGTTCATTGTTAAATTCCTGTAACAGACATGCACCTATACCGACCGAAGAGGCATCCGTGCAGAGGATAAAGGGTTGATCTGTATTTGGTAATCTGAGAATAGGTTCCGATGCGAATGCTTGTTTTACCCTGTTTAGTGCTGTTTCACATTTTTCTGTCCACAGTAGTTTCTTATTCTTTTTGTCCGTTTTTGTTAAATTCGTTAGTGGCTCTATGATGGTGGCGAAATTGGGTATAAACTTCCTATAGTAGTTACACAGCCCGATCAAGCTACGGACCTCTTTAATTGATGTCGGCACGTTTATGTTCAGTATTTTATTCACTGTAGGTTGGAGTGGCTTTTGTTGACCTTGTGAAATGGAGTGACCTAAAAATTCTATCTCTTCCATTCCTATTTCTATTTTGCTAGGTTTAGCAGTTAGTCCATGCTGCTTTAATATTTCCAGCAGCGTTTCCAGTCCTCTCACATGCTCTTGCCAGGTGTTGTGGAACAGACATATGTCATCTAAGTAGGATATGAGGTCGTCTCGACCCTGTAGTATTTTTCGCATGAGTCTGTTGAAGGTAGCCGGTGCGTTCATTAGCCCGAAACTCATGTACTTCCACTGGAACAAGCCAAATGGTGTTATAAAGGCTGTTAGGTGTCTCACATCTTCTTTTATTGGTATCTGCCAATAACCCCTGGATAAGTCAAGCTTTGTAAAGTATTTAGCCTGTTTAAGTTTAGCAAATAAGTCTTCTGGATTTGGCATTGGTTCTGCGTCTGGTATTGTAATGCTGTTCAGTTGTCTGTAATCAATACACAGTCTAAGGTCGTGGGATTTTTTCTTTACTAATACAATAGGAGCAGCATATGAAGAGTCGGAATGTTCTATTATTCCAGCTTGTAATAATTCTTGGATTTGGTTTTGTACGTTTTCTCTGTGATGTATGGGAATGTTGTATGCGGGCATTTTGGTTGCTCTAAGTGAAGTCAACTTAATATCATGGACGATTGTATCTGTTTTACCAGGTTGTGGGGATAGCACCTCTTTAAATTTTTCTAATATTTCCTTGATTTCTTTTTCGATTTCTGGCGGCATTCTGCCGATTTTGATATCTTGCCATGTTTCCTTGCTAGTAGGTAATGTGTATATTTTGCCGATCGAGTCTGTGTCATCTTCGTGTAACTCTGCGCAGTTTATTGTTGCCGTTTGTTTAATTTCAAGCTCTTCTGGTCTTAAGGTGTAAGGGCTCAATATATTTGTGTGAAACGTTTTTTTCTTCCCTTTTATTTCGACTTGGTAATCTACATTTGAAATTTTGGCTGTGATTGTGAATGGACCCTGCCATGCAAGCTGTAATTTGTTGTGCTTAGAAGGTAACAGTATTCTGACCTGTTCCCCTACTGTGAACTGGCGTAGCTTTCTATTCCTGTTCACCCTGTGTCTTGCTATTTCTCCCTTTTCTTGTAGCGCGAGCTTTGCTTCCTGGCATGCATTGATTATATTTTCTCTAAGATTGACAATGGCTTCATATGTTGTTCTGGTTTCTTGTTCTATGTTCTGTTTGTAGAGAAGTGTCCTAAGTATATCCATGGGGCCTTTGGGGTTGGCGCCGTAGACGAGTTCGAATGGAGAGAATCCAGTAGAAGAATGAGGTATTTCTCGGTAGGCGAATAGGATACATGGTAGCATGGTATCCCAGTTTTCTGGGTTGTCTTTAGAGACTTTGTCTAATAACGATTTAATGGTGCCGTTTAGTCGTTCACACACGCCATTGCTTTGAGGGTGATAGGGCGTCGTGAATGCTTGCTTAATCCCCAGCACACTCGTGAGTTGTCTCGTTAAGTCGGAGGTAAATTGTGTGCCCCGATCTGACAGTATGGTGTCCGGGAACCCGGTTCTTGAGAAGAACGTGAGTAGGGCGCCTGCTATATCCTCAGATGTTATCGTCTTTAGTGGGAAGGCTTCTGGCCAACGTGTTGCAAAGTCGACTATTGTGAGGATGTATCGGTGACCACGTTTTGATGGGGTAGGCAGTGGTCCTATGATATCTATCGCTATTTTTTCGAATGGTCTGTTAGCTAAATCGGTGGTTTGTAATGGGGCTTGGGGTGGTCTAGTGGTATCTCTATTCCTGCATGTCTGACATGACTTCACGTACTGTGAGATGTCTTTGTCCATGCCCGGCCAGTAGAAGGTAGTTTCAATTCTTTGTTTTGTTTTCTTTCTTCCCATGTGTCCTGCAAGTGTAAGGTCGTGTGCATGGTGTAGAATTTGTGCTCTGTATTTCTGTGGGATTACTAATTGGTTTATTTCTTGTCCTTTGCTTTTATATTTTCTTTGAAGCGTGTTATTCTTAATAAAGAAAGAGTGTTCTGATGACCTCGATGTAGTAATTGAGTGTTTACGGGCGAGTCTAAATATCTTTTCTAGTGACGGGTCTTCTTGTTGTGCTAGCTGAAATTTTTCTGGTTCCCAAATGTTTTTGGTCTCAGTATTATCCATGGCATTGTTCTGTTGGCCTTCTGCTTGATGACTACTTAGGTCGACGGGTGGTTCATGACTTTTGTTGCTTTCTCTTGCTTTTCTTGCTTGTTCTCTTGTTTCGACCATCTGAATTATTTCCCTTTGTACCCAATCGTCGATTTCCACTCGGGAAATAGTTTCGTTGTTCACTATGTTTCCGATGATCAGATCATATGATCCATTGTCAGTGACCACAGCAATTACACGACCAGTTAGATATGGGGTTTGAATATTGATCAATGCCGTTTTGTATTCTGCGATTATACCGCCAAATAATTCCACATTTACATATCGGCCTGTATATTGGCATGTTTTAACGAATTTGGCTTTTACTGCCATTGTCGAACAACCAGTGTCTCGAATTGCGTTTACTATCTGTCCGTTTACTTTAGACTTAAATGTTGGTAACGAGCTTGATGTGTTTAGTAGGTGGATTCTTTCAACTGGTTGGTTATGGTTTTGTGAAGGGTTGTTTCTCTGTGGTCTCTGGTAAGGTTCGTTCCTTGAAGATGAGCGTTGTTGGCTTAGTTGTTCTAAGTAGTTCACTCGAGTTTCAACTCTAAATTGTTTCACACCTCTAATATTTCCTAATATCACATCGTATGGCCCGTTTTTAAAAACAGCTGCTTCAACTGTTTTACACGCTGAGGGTGTGGCTATGGTGACTATAGCTGTTGGCCAAACATATGTGCTGCCTCTTGAGCTGTGAACACGTTGTGTTCTGCCTGTGTATTGGTGGTGTTGTACGAATGTGTTACGTACTGCCACTGTTGAGCAGTGTGTGTCCCTAATTGCTGTGGCGTATCTGCTATTAATTTTTGACGTAAATGTGTCTGTTCTTTTACTGGCTTCTGTAAACGATGATATGAATGCCATTCTATTAATCTGTCTATATTTTGGTCTGTTGCGTTGTGCATCTTGTTGGCGTATATCATAATATCGTATTCTGCAATTTATTTGTTTGTGGCCTGTTCTATTACAATAGTAGCATCTGACACTGTAATTGTGTTTTTGTTGACTGTAGTTAATCTGAATGTTGTGATTTGCGCTATTATGTTTTTGGAGTGTATGTGGTGTTTCACTTTTTGTAGTAGGTATTTCGCTTGCTTCACTGAACGTGTCATCTGAATCTGAATCGTAGGAATAGTAAAATGTTGTTTCAGCTGTCTGGTTGTTATTATTAGTATCTAAACTTTGCACCGTTTCTTGTTTGGCTTGGCAAAGTTCTCTCAATTTTTCTCTTTCTTTACGAATTCTTTCTGTTTCTTCTTTAAGTCCGGCAATATATGTTTCTGCTTCTCTTTGTTTCTCTGCTAACTCGGCATCTATCTTTGCATCATATTCTTCTTCAGTCAACAAGGAATCTGGATCTCCGAATACCTTGTAATCTACAATTCTATTGATCAAATCTTCCATAGCATCTGGATCATCTAGAGTTTTTACGTCAAATTCTTTAACAGTTAATAACCAGTCTCGATTTTCTGTTGTCGTGTATTGTCCAAGCCTAATAATCAATTCATCCAGAATATCTGGATCCTCAATAGTTCTTGAATTGCTTTTCACTTTGACTGTATTCTGAACATTTATATCTAGTAACGAGTTATCAATTCTACCTGACTCTTCTAGGCCTGACTTAAGCTCAGTTTTAGTGCCCACTTCGTATAATGGAGGCATTTTTAAGGGTAGTGTGGTTGAAGAAACAGATAAGAAAGAGGCAGAAAAACCGCTGGCACCAAATATCCAGCACAAGTCTAAACCCAAACGTTTAAAAAATTTTTGGAAGGTACTTATCTTTTTGGACATGTTGACTGTTTCCTTGTGTTGTTAATCCAAACTCGCTCCGGTTGAAGAAACCCGCTGTTGTGTTGAGTTGAAGAAAGCTGTACACCAGTCGTACTCCGTCATGAATAGCTGATATACGTTCTTTCCCTCACTCGACCCGCGCTCCACCAGATGTGAGGGTGGGGGTTTTAGGAAAGGCCGGAACGAATGAATCCAACAACACGCAGTTCAAGTTCAACTATAATTGTTCTTTATTAAAATGATATATATGCTCAAGTTTCTACCTAACTGATCTACACTGTACTATTTACTTCTACTACTGACTGTTCACTATACTACTAACTCCCACGACCAATCCTAACACTATCTACATTCTACAACCTAACACCTTCTCTACTCTTCGCTATCTAATCATGATCTCCTAACTATCTACATTCTCGGCCGTCTCTGACCGCTACCTATCACCGTCCTCGCCTATCGCTCTACTGCCCCACGCCTCAGTGGTCAGCTGACCGTCCCACGTGACCGGTCAGCCCTGTGCGCCCATTGGCCTCTCTACCCAACCAACTAGGCCCATCGTCTGTTTCTGCTAACCTATATCTGCTAAACATGTCTGACGTAATCTTGCGTCATCACAAAAAGCTATGTTTGGGAGTCTTCTTCTGTTGATTTTGATTATGAAATACAAATCCCATTGTTTTCACTGTAATATAAACATACAAAAAATATTCAAGTATTAGATGTTTGTATATGTAGTTTCTATTTCTTTGAATTCTCACGTCTAGTTTTTTCTGCAGGCCCTCGCTCCTGTATTGGAGAGAACCTGGCTAAGATGGAACTGTTCCTATTGTTTACCAGTGTCCTCCAGTTCTTCACTATCCAGACTATACCAGGTCAAGAGGTCAACCTGGACGCCCACCTTGGATTTGTCTACCAACCGACTCCACAGAATCTGGTCTTTGCTAAACGATAAAATAAATACGAACTTCGAACTATTAATAAAACCTTTTCTTCTTCTTCATTCTTCATTGTAAAAAAATGTTGGACACGATTTCAACCGGTTATGCATCAAAAAGGCTGTTGACTCAAATTTCAGCTTGCTTTCCTTTTTGTATTCGCTTCCATAGACTTAGTCCATCCAAGAAAAAACTACAAGGCAGTTGTTTGATTTTGGAGTTTTCTCCCCTAGATGGGTGGCTTCCCCAGCTATTGAGCCTTGTTAGCCTTGAGGTTCAATCTCAGGAGCTATTGGTTTAGCAACTATAAATTAAGTTGTGTTTTAATAATTAATTTTAGACTGAAAAACATATAGCTTTACCAACATTTCGTACATTCATTCATCCATTTTAATTTACATCAGTAGCACATTTTAAACTAGATTTATGTTTTATAAGGAAGTTTTAATTTGTTTGCAAGGTCAGTCAAAATTATTGTTGTTGATTTGACAGTTATTTCTTAAGATTTTTCTGATAACCTAATTTTAAAATAAACCCTAGATTTTAAATGTTTCCATTTATTTTTATTTATTATGTTCTATAAATTTAGCCAAATTTAGACAAGGTGTGAATATTTTTTAAATTAAAAAGACAAAAATAATGAAAACATTAAAAGTAAATAGAACCAGAGTAAGCCTTGAACAATTAACTTATGGTTTCCTACAGACATTTGAGAGTGGAGGAGGGGGGGGGGGAGAGGTGGTACTGGAAATTGCCAAATAAAGACTAGTTAAACTATATATTACCTGTATAAATTATATAGGATTATCCCCCTCGCCCGGGACTAAATACAAAATAGAAAAAAATGTACATAACAACTCCACCTGGAAACTCCGAAGTTTTAAATTCTCTCCCCCCATCTTCCTTTGTAAAAAAAACCCATCTGAACAGAGAAGTGACCGAAAGTAATACTGATTAAAGGGTTGGATTGGAAATGTAAAAAATTAGTTAGATAGCGGACGGCTAAAAGTTGTCTTTTTGTTATGTTTTTGGTATGTTCTTTTAATATGTGGAATAATAACAGTACAGTAAAAGACTAATAGTTGCACTAAATACGTGGGGAACAAGACGGGGTATGGATGTTTCAAAAGTGTACTGTGATTAAAATATAGGGAGGTAACCGTTGTAAGTTTTCTAACACAAGCAATACCAGTGTTACTTCCCTTTGTAACTATCGCATGTCTTCACTATGTATAACAATACAATGATTTTATCAACATAATTCGATATAATTATAATGATAATTATTTTATACCATAATACAAAATGTAAAAAACGGAGCTGGAGCTATGATAATTATTTAAAAATTCGTTGTAAGATGAACATTTATCATTAAAGAAAATGGCTAGAAAAAAATTAAGCTACTTAACAGCTGATTGAGTTAATAATAGCCGGATTGCTTTTTGGTACTAATGTAACTTGTATAATGGATAATATGAAAGAAAACTAAATTTTTAGCTGCTTGATCAGCATATCACAAAGTGATGTCTTCTACAAGAGATACACAGATGCTCATGTTAAGTGTATCCTGTTTGTATGCAGTGCCGGAATGGCCCGCCGGTTTACCGGGAAAATCCATGTGGACCCCAGAAAAAGAAAACTCTATGGGCCCCTAGGAATGGTGCTGTAATAGTCATATTAGTGCTTTGGTTGTTTTTTTTTTAATAATGAGTTTGTACTTCTCCATTTTCTTATTTTCGACCTCATACTAGTGTTTTGATTTTTTTTTTAAATAATTATTATTTCTCCGTTTTACGTTTTTCCATTCCATTGATGGAGAAAAATGCACAATGAAAATTTCAACCTGCGGTTGGTGGGGGGGGGGGGGGGCTTTTAAAATCATCCGGAGTTCCTCAAAACAGCCACTGCATCCTTGTGTATATAGAGGCCGTCCATAAATGACGTCACACTCGAATGGGGGGGGGGAGGTCCGTTATTTTGTTACGGTGTGTGATGAGGGGGAGGGGGGGTTCTGATTATGTGACGTCACACTTTTGCATTATTAAAAAAAGCAATGTTTGTAAACAAATGTTAGCAGTTGTTTCGCGTTTGAGAAAACTATTTTAATAATTTATATTGAAATTGATTAAAATACTCTATGTTGAGAAATTTCAGACAAGATTTTTGAAAAATATCGATGTTTTAATAAAAATTCAACTACAATTTGAGGGGGGGGGGGGGGGGTTGTAGGCTCAGGTGTGACGTTATTTTAGGGGGGGGGGTCTGGCTTTTTGTGACGGAGGGGAGAGGGGGATGTAAAAATCGTCCAAAAAAGCGTGACGTCATTTATAGATGACCCCATAGCTGAAAAGTTGATATTTGAAAATCAAATTGAAATGGAACTCAGGTTACCGTGTTCGCCCCTTCCCTCCCCCAACCTGGTACAATACTAGACATATTTATTTTTGAACGATGAATTGAGTATTTTTTTTTTTCTTGTCATGTGACTTTGTGATAACGCTGCTATTTAGCTTTAACATTTTTAAATGAATTATTCGCTTAGTTATAGCTAGTATATTTTTTTATAATTGTTTTAATTATGAACGTAATTTACAACTTTTTTTTAGTAAAAGGGAGAACACTCTTTTTTTAATTAAAAAAAAGCTAAAAGTAGAGATTATGTGAAAGTGGATAATTTAACTTACATGAAAACTAAATAATCAAGAAAGACAACTCATGACTAAGTTCTCAAAAGTCATTCAAATAAAGAACAGGCCAATTATTATAAACGTTTTCTAAACCTAAATTTGTATAACAATAAGTGTATAAAGGTAAAATTATTATATTGATGGATATACAATAAGATTTTTAAAATTTAAACATTAAATTATTATTAAGTTATAATATTAAAAGCGCATACTTTAACAGCTTAAACTTTATTTTTGTAGAAATAGGAAGTTTTTATTAGATCTAGGTTTTAATATACGGTTGATTTGGTAAATATAGGTTAGATCTCTAGAACTAGATGTTAAAAACAACAATTTAAAAGAACGAAATAAATTCAATATGCCAAACATTTCTGCAAGAAATCCTTGGGTTATCGTTGAGTGTAGTACTACTTCAAGCATTCGAAATTGTTTAGGCCGGCTTCTTAGTATCTCAGAACAACACCCTGCGTCGTTATCCTCTGTGGTTGATCATGCTGTTGAGGATAGTAGTACATCAACATTTGTCAAACTACAGAAAGAGATAAGCTTGAAAAATAAACGTTTGGTTAAGACTAGAGGAACTATTGAAGATTATAATCAGGAATTACAATTGTTTGACATTGTTCATTTGAATCAAACTGAAATACATTTTATTGTCGTGAAGCAGCTTTGCTCTGACTTGGATACAGTTTTAAAAAATATAGAAACTTTAATAAATTGTTTGCAAAAACCATTTATCAATAACTTAATCAAGATGAATGCCTCCTACCACAGGTTCGCTAATGAAGTATTTATTCAGCTGGTTTTGAGTCTCAATGAACTAAGTCTACATACAGACAATATAACTTGGATATCAAACAATAATTTTGTGATGTCGGAGTTGGAACCATTATTATCAGAAATCCAGAGCACCACAGCTACAATTCAAACATCATTTCATACAGTATCACAGATGACAGAAGGGATTGCACATTTTTATAAATCTCAAAAGTAACTCAGCAATGCAACAACAAAAGGTCAAGGAACATTTTATTTTGAAAAGGAGAAGCATGAATGTATTTTTGTTTCATGTAAATAATAATAAATCATTAAAACTCCAAGCAATTCTAAAAAAAAAAAAAAAAAAGAGAACGGCCTCGAAAGAAATATTATTATTGTAAATCTATATCAGTCCTAACAAGCCGTTGATGAAAACGGTAATACTAAAACAGGGGTCGGCAACCTTTTAAGAAGGAAGAGCCAAAAGTTAAAATTTCCAAGTTTTTAAAGAGCCACTAACATTATTTTTTTTCTATAATTTGATATTTGATAAGGAGTTGGTAAATAAATTTGGTTTATGATTTGAAATAAATAGCGTTAAATATGAACTAATATTGATTCATATAAAAAACATACAAATGTTTCTCACAAAAAGTGTTTTAGCTAGCTCTGTTATGATAAAAGTAGTAATCAAATGATATAAATATTTGACTATCCCAATCCACTTTACAAGCCAATAACTTTTTTCTTTCTTTACTGACACCACTGGCTCAGGAGGCGTCTCCCATATCCGGGCAGGCCTCAACACGGTCAACTCCGACTGTCTTGGGTATCGGGTTGATTACTGTATCGGTCGCCTATACGCCTTTATTAGTTGTTTTTTTTTTTTTAATTATTATTTCTAGCAATATGTATGTCAAGGGAGACAACACCAAATTAAATTAGAAAATTATAGAAAATGTGTAACCAACGAAAAAGTTAACCAAGTTAATACACTTGTATTCAGTATTTTAATGTGATATTATATAAATACGTTAAAACAAACCTGCTTTTTTTTACATAGATGAAGCACAATTTAAAATTATGATTGAACATAGAACTCAACACATTGTCTGTAAAGTATTCCTATAATTTTAAATACACTGTTTCCCATTTAATAGTATTCCAGTTGCATTTCCCATTTTCGAAAAAAAATTGTGTTAAAAAGAAAACAAAAGTAAAATGAAATTAAAAAAAAGAGAGACGGCGTTGCCTAGTGATCGAGATCCCCTGACTACTAGCCCAGGGTCGGCAACCCTCGGCTACAAAAAAAAAAACAACTTGAAAATATCTGGTAGATTTTTTTTGCATCGATTTTAACAAATATTAAATAATCGATATTAACTAGTCGAATTGATTTATTTATTTACTTACATAACCTATTGTAAAAGTCTATTGCCTATTTCGATATGTCACTTTTCTTAATATATCATATTCACATAGGCACTGTTAAGTAGCGAAAAGTGTTTTTCAATAAAATGAATATGTTGTGTTAAACATTGAATATGTGTTATGAAACAATGACTGCTGAAATAGGCCAACGCCA